TAAGTGTGGCAGGCATCCCTAGTGGCGTTGCTGGGTGGGGCGAAGTGTCTTTTGGCAGCGCCGCGTTTGACGTGACGCTCCGCGTTCTGGGGCAGTATTCTAGTGAAAGGGAGGTTTGCGCGGCATTCGCGTCTGATTGGGGTGGCGCCTGTTCGGTTGTCTGTTGGGCGTCAGCGGTACTGGGTTAGTGCGAGTTTTTGGTCGTAGGAAGTTGCGGGTAATGTATTGTTTAATTTTTTCCCTCTCTTTTTGTTAAAATATGTACTATGTAATACGTGTCATGGACTTATGTATACGGGACCAGCAGTTTAAACCCACCCAAAACGTCTTTAAACGCCAACAACTCCCGTAACAATTTTACGTTCGGCAAAGACCCGCAGGGATCGTAATGTTTTAGCTGGAGTATAAGAATTCCTTGCTCCTTGTGGGTGTATACAGAGGTATACAGGTAGAAGTTTTATACTAGGATAAAGAACACCAAGAGGAATGCCCGTCTAGGACACCTACGGACAAGTCAGAGTCGCCGATGCATCGGCGCTGTCGGAGCGGACACGAACATGCGCTTCGAAGCACGGATATTCTCTCCAACCCATCTACTACAAGAGACCAAATGGAAGCCATCGAGATCTAACAAACCTAAGAACAATTGTTACGGAGTTGTTGGGTGGGTTTAAAGACTGTTTTGGGTGGGTTTTAAAGACTGTGGGCGTATACAAGGTCCGTATACAGTTACATAGTAAATTTTTAACAGATAAAGAAGAAGGAGAAAAATTAAACCAATACATGGTCGGACTTCGTACGACAAAATCGGCAGCTAACAGTAAGTGACCGGCCAACCAGACGCGAGAACAGGCGGGCGACCAATCAGACGCGAGGGCGAACTGCCTTTCACTATGAATTATGGCCCCAGAGCCGCGGGAGCGTCACGTCAACGCGGGGCTGCTCACAGGACATTCGCCGCCGCACAACGCATGAGGATGCTGCCCAGTGTAGGCGAAACGTATGGACAAGTCTCATTGGACACGGCTTCAAGCCCGGGAAATCAACTGATTTTGATATGGAAACCGGCCGTGAAAGCTACATTGTATGATTAGTTAGTTTCTATATTTAGTGATTCCATTGTAATATTTATGTTTTAGGTAAAGTCCTGTGGTCAAAAGGTGCATTAGTAAGTTGAGGCATCTTCACTTTTGTTCCTATATTTGCCGTTAGAAGAGAACTGCAGCAAAACTGTACGAATACTTTCTGCTTATGGAGTGAGTTATAATTCAGAAGAGAATTTGGATGAGTCATGACAGTACTTAGTGAAACAGATTGGGAAGATGAAGTAGCTAATGAAAGCAATTCGAAACCAGCTGTGTGGGTTATATTCTGTGCCTTAAAGTTTGTGACAGGAATAAAAAAGTAATATGAAATTTGTGATATTTTCTTACTTTGGTATACTTATGAAAATCTAAACCGATGAACGTTTTTAATGAAAGTGTTTGCAGGAATATTCAGGAATACAAGAATGATCTTCTAGGGTACTACTAAAATCTTAAAATCTCTAATAACAATATCGTCTGCAAAGATGTAGTTGAAAAAATTAAAAGCCTAATCTTGTTATAACGTTTCTGGGCCAGGAAAATATGTTTTTTGTTGTTGAAAAAAATGGGCCTGATGTGTTTAATAATACTACATACCCAATTGAATGTCTAGCGAAACGTATGGACAAGTCTCCATTGGACCACGGCCTTCAAGCCCGGAAACAACTGATTTTGATAACTCTAATTCAATTTGGAACAGGTTTTAAATCTGATTTTCTCAAAAGTATTTCATGAACCTATAAATTCAGTGTTGTTGGAAGAAAACATACAATTACAATTATTATTCTCTAAGATGTAAGAGCAACTAATTGTGAATGCACACATTTAGATCTGCATTCCCAGGCACTACAAGTACAGAAATACCTTCATGATCAGCTATTCACTTTTATGAAACAATAAATTATACTTAAATTTGAATTACCTGTATCAATTGGCACAGAACATCAATGCTTCCCATTCTTTTTTTGTGATCTCTTATCTTTTGAATGTCAGATCTGACAAGACGAAGTATTTCTGAAGCAAATTTACTATCTGCGTCTTTCAAAATCAAGGATACATGTCCAGAGCCCAGCAAACGATCCAAGAATCCATATAACGGGCAAACTACTCTGTTATCTGAATGATATTCAATGAACAGTTCTATAATAGTATCACAGATTCTATTTAGTTCTTTTGGATCATTCTCCCATTCTTTTAAGAGTGAAAAGAAAGAATTGCTGGAATGTTTCACCTGCAAAGACACTGACAATTAGAAACAAAATACAAAAAAAGTATTCATTCATATTTGAATCAATTTCTGTATTTGTATCAATCCTTAACATATTACATGAACTTTTGACTTACTACAGGTATAACAACATAAATATTTCAAAACATTAATTAAATCAGTCTTTTTTAATTGAAATCGTCGTAGTGAATGTTAAATAAAATATTTAAATATCAGGCTGCTGAAGACAAAAGTTTGAAAGATGTATGAGTGACACATCTTCATTTAAAATTTGCTTACACTAGTCAAAAATGTTATAAAATGACCACTTTAAGTCATGATATCCAAAGATGATGATAATTGTAGGAATACATTGATTTCAATTATACTAATGTTTAAATTATCTTGTCCAAACTCACCAAACTTTCAGTGATGCCTCCAATACTGACAAAAAGACCCAACAAAATGTGATATGTAAATTCAGGAAAGCGTAGAAGTTGAACAAATTTGGGGAATGTGTTACTAGCAGAAATCCACACAATGTTGTTTCTACATTCATCTGGAGGAAAAATTTCCAAAAGTTGTTCATGGTGAGGAATATTGGGTACTGGAGGATTACTGAAATCAAAATGACCATTATAAAATAACAAACTACTTCAAATTATTTAACAACATAAAAATTTTCTTTCGTAATTGTAATAGAAAATTTAACTGTTTATCATTGTTTAATTTTATACAGTCAAGTTTAAAATTGTTGACATCAATATATTTTTTGTTTCTTCATTTATCATAGCATGACTAAGAAATAAATTTTAAAACAAAAATATGAACTTGTAATGAAAAATAAACCATGAGAATGAAGAAGTATAATCGACTAACAAAAAGATAGAGACTTTTTTCTTGTGTGTGTGTGACAAAATGGACATGCGAACAAAGGGACAAAAAGGAAAATGGGGCAAAGGGACACAATGGGAAATGGGACAAGGAGGACAAAAAAGGCGCAAGGGGACAAAAGGGTCAAAAATTTCAGAAACCATTCCTTGAAATACTAATAAAGATAAATGTCACTGTTAAAGTTCAAAAGTTGAAAATTTAATATATCTGTACCAAAACAATTGCAAAAATAAGTATTATTCACATTTATTCACAAAAATTCAATTTAGTGGCAATGACATTTATCCGAAGATTTATGAGCACTGGTAAAATTTAAATCTGAAAGTCTGCTAAACTATTTTCATTGGACTTTCAAGTATTTTAACAGCCATTGCTATGGACATGATCTCAATTTCTTGTTTAGATAATGGGTAGCTAAGAGGTTAAGCACACTTATCGACTTAAATAAAGGGGGGGGGGTATTCCCAGAATAATCTTTCACAGGTTATTGTGCCCATTAGATCCCAAAATAAGAAACAATATAATGGCATAAAAAACAATATCAATTTAGACATCTATCTAGCATTTATTACTGAAAATTGATATACATTAGCTCTGTTTCAAACAAATCCAAAACCAATGTATATAGATAATAGAAATAATGATTTTACAAGAACTCACCTGTGAATAAGGCTACAGAAGACATTGCCGGCATGAGCCCGAGTTCTATCTATTCTTTCCACAGCTTGCTGGCTCACACTAGCAACAATCCTTTTCACTAGATCCGGCTTTAATAATGATGGGTCGGCTTTCAAAACCAGTAAGGTAAGTGTCTACAAAATTATAAGTCACAAACATTAATTACACACAGAAAATTTTGTCTTTATTTTACTATTTGCTTTACTTTAAGATGCTAAGCCAATTACATCATTACAAGCATTGTATCTGATGTAAAGAATTAAAAATATTGTGGAGGAAAAAAAAGAGTGATATGAGACTTTTGGAAATGAAACCAGCACCAATTTTTTTTAATGTCCTTAGATACATATGAAGAAAAAAATTGTTTAATAACTTTTAAAAATTGCCTACATTTCACAGAAAATAATGCAAAAACTACTCATATTTTTGAAAAATTGGACACAACCTAATTTCAAAATCTGTATTAAAAAACAGATTTCGGGAAAAAAATCTCTTCAATATAGTAGGCCCTAGTTGTAGGAAGACGCTTCACTTAATTTGAACTTTAACAATTGTTAAAAAATCAGGGATTTTAAAGAAAATGAGATTTGCATCATTCTCACACGAATTTTTTTCACTAGCCAAGGATAAAGTTTATTCTAAATATTTAGAGCAATTTTCGAGAAAATGTTGAAGCTTCATACAAAGAACCCCCCAAAATCAAAATTTCCATTTTAAACCAACACAGACTCGAATTCCTTTACTTTGATTCAGGAATATCAATTTTGGAGAAAATTGTCTAAACGGTATTGGTGCTAGCTTTGATCCAAGACGGATGGCTGAGTGGACAGGCTGACAGACAGAGAGAATATTGCCGTCAATTGATTTCCGTATCACGGTCCGTAAGGGATTTACTATACTTACAAATAAAATGTATCCACGTTTTCATTACTAGGGCCCGACAATTAGAATTTTTCTGACCAAAATTCACCATTTTGTCAACAATAAAAGAAATAGTCATATTCTCCTCCCAATGCATTCTTTTATTTATCTTTTTATTTAAACTTCTGCATATTTGGAAAATATTGGACAGTTAAGACACTGTTTTAAAACTAAATGAAATTGTATGGATCATTTGATTTTAAGTGATAATATAAATTATAATATAATATAAATTCCTTAACATTTTGGTTGTTCAATACCAAAAGAAATAAAGAAAGAGGGTACATTGTTTACAAATAGTGGCCATTTTTGTTTTAAGCCACGTTCCTTTTTTTTTTTTTTTTTTTTTTTTTTTTTTTTTTTTTTTTTTTTTAAACTTGTGTAGACATTTAAGGCTTCGTAAATTACTCAATGCTAGGTGGTTGTAGCTTTTTAAAGTAAAATGTATTGGATTCAGTAAATTCTGAACTACAAATCAAAGTGATACTTATCTACTTAATAAGTTTTTATTAAGGTAAAATTTGCTACCAAAATTATCAAATGTGAATGAACAAATTTCGATTTTTAGAGAAGATTTGCAGTCACAGTCTTAATTTATTCTATGCTTTTACATATCAGCCATGTTACTTTTTGTAAAATATCAACGGTAAGTAGCATACCTCTTAAAAATTATACCATCAAAATTGGCATCTTGGACAACTTTGGGATTTGAGCAAACAAAACAGAAAGGAATTTATATACAAAGAATGAATTATTTTCTGAGATGATCGAGCAACCAACATTGGATTGCTGAAAATGGGTTGATCTGTACTTTGGAGATCCAACAATGATGATTGGATTGTGAAAACTACAAATCACTTTTTTTTTTTTCCAATTACAAGGATGTGGGTAGTATTCAAACAAATTTCTGTTTTTTTCGTCTTTCTATTTTCATTATCATTTTAAATTTTTTTACACTAGTCAGTCAAAAAAAGTTTTAAATACTATATTTTTTGTTACAAAATCAAAATATACTTCATTAACATAGGATAAATACAAAATAAATTTATATTGACCTGCAATGCTGACATAGCTGCTTCTCGAACCCATGCACCGATATCTCCTCTACTATCTAAAGTATATTCCATTAGACTGCTGAAGAAACAGTCGAATAAAACATCCAAATGGCTAAGCAATGAAGTTGTTTTATCTACAAAGAAATGCCCATTGGTGAAAAAAAAGTGAAATTTACAAAAACAGACAACTTCATATTCCATTTCCATGGCATTTTGGGAAAATGTCACTCATGCATACCACTAATTATACATACTTTTGCTTTACTTCATAATTCATTAATCGTAATATGATTTGTAATTCAGGCAATCTATTATTGAGTAATTCATTTAACAATCTATACTTGTGTTTTCCCAGTTTAAAGATAATATACAATACCTAGAGATGAAGTATCAACTCCTACAGTAGTACATACTGATACAAGCGCTTTTAAAGCATCCCTGCGGCTCTCAGCCCATTTCACTGTTGTTTCAGTAACTTGCGTACATGTGATTAAAGCAGGAAGGACTATATGGAGTTGTCCTTTTAAAATGAAATCAGGTAGAGAACCTAATAAAAATACAAGAGGTTAGATTGTTCATTATTTAACATGAAATATAGAAAGTACTTCACTTTTTCAAACCTATGGCCAAAGCAAAGCCCATTCGTGTGGTCTCGTTGTTAGCTGTTAAATGTTCAGTGTATTTTCCAATGAGTGCATCCCTCTCTGACATTTTAACTACCCATGAATCATTTTCACAGGTTCTACAATACTCAGAGAGAAAAACTGGCAATGCTGATGCAGCTCGTGCACGAACATTAATACTTTCATGGGAAAAACATTCATCCAGTAATGCTTGCCATTCTCCTATAACAATGTAAACAAAAAAGCTATAGCATCAAAATTATCAAATTCTTAACACAATCTTCGAATCAAAAGGAAATCGTAACTATATTACACTGGTGTTTGTGAAATTGCAACCTCCAGAAGGAACGGTCAAAATCATTTAAAAATTAATGGATGTGTAGAACAGTGTATCTATAAGAAGTGATTAAATTTGCATAGAGATGGCATGTTATGCCATACTCGGTTGGTGTAGAGCCGTCAAATGACTTGAAAACGTGTAAGCAAGTGCTGGCAGGCCTTGTCAACGCCAAAGGGCACAATATCAGCATCTGGACAAGTTCAAAGGGACAAAATGATCAGTCTACAAAAAGCAGGTTTGTTTTGCTGTGACATTGAGGCTTGCACAGGGTGTGCTGCAATGACAGTGATGTGAGTGTGTAACCAGTGGATAGAGGAGGGTCGTACACAGCAATGAGTTGTCAGGTTCTAGGCCACACAATGTGAACAGCGCGAGATGACCGCCATTTTGTCCGCATGACCATAATCAACAGTACAGCATTGTCCAGAGTGTTGGCTCGTCTTTGAAGCACTGCAACGGGTGTGGTCATGTCTGTGTTGACGGTTTGACTCCATCTGCTGAGGGCTGGATTGATAGCATGCATACCACTTCTGTTGACCAGAAACCACCAACGCCTCTGATAGCAATGGGCACGTGAATGTGTTCACTGGTGTGCTGACTGGCAACATGTAGTGTTATTGGATGAGTCTTGCTTCAATTTGGGCTATAGCAATGGCCACGTACACGTTCGATGCTACTGTGGTAGTTACAATCTGCCAGTCTGCATTATTCCATGCCATAGTGGACAAATTTCAAACGTGATGGTTTGGGGTGCTATTGGTTGCAATGCTCGATCTTGCCTCACATGTATTGTGGGCAGTCTGAACACCTACTGCTACATTAGAGAGGTTTTAGACCCCCCAGGTGCTATTTCAACAGGACAATGCCTGACTGCATGTGGCGAAGAATGATGAGTACCAATGGTTTCTTGGCCTGCATGTATGTCTGACATGATGCCCATTGAACAAGTCTTGGATAAGATCGGTTAGCAACCTGTTTTATTCTGGCCCTTCTGCAGCCCACATCAATGCTGCACATCCAGGCTCTCTTAGCTGCATTTGCAGCAGCATATCCAGCCTCTCTTTGAATTCATGCCACCACATCTACAGTCTCTGATGGCAGCGCATGGCAGCTTCACACTGAACTAAATACTCAAAGTTAAAATGTGTGTTCAGTTCTGTAATTCTAATTATTTGCATATTGTGATATTCCTAATCTGAGGAATTAATTTCACTGTAATAGAATGTCTACTTCTCTGTGTTGTAATTTTCACAAACACTTGTGTACATTTTATAAATACCTTTCACCTAAACAAACTCACCTATTATTTCACGATTATGAAAAGGCATCTTTGAAGCGGAGCATTTCTCAATTAAATGGGCACATGCTTGTTTCATTAATTCGCCTCCCAAACCTCGAAACTGTAACAGTTTTTTAAACTTAGGCACCAACTGACACACTGCTTCCACAGTTTCAGCACCTGTAATTCATAAGGATTTTTGTGATATTGACAACATTTGGTTAAGAATATTTCACTTTTCAATATATACAGTAAATAAGAAATTTTAAACAGTAATAGGTACTCACTCACAACATCCAGAAAAATTTTTGGCGACATATCCAATGAAACAAATAATGCATGTAATATTTCAGCAATAGCAATTATGGCCCCATGTCTAACGTTGAGATCAACTGAATTAGTTTTCTCCAGAAGTTTTCCCAAAACAATTTCTGACATGTATGTTGGAGCTCTTGGAGTCAAATTATGCAATGCCTAAATACAAATAAAAATTAATATTAAAAACAGATTCCATTTTGAAAATAATCATGTACAACTAAATTAGATTTTCCATTTAAATCTACAGTAAATGCAATAAAATTGCACAAAATTTTGTTTATTCTTTCAGGAAAAAGAAAAAAAGAAACTTTATAATTGTTAAGCAATCAAATACTTTGCAAAAACAAACAAACGACAACAACACATTTTGCTTCTTGTATAAATTTCCCCCTCTTCAAATTTTTTTTTAAGGATGGCTCCAAATATATATAACACCCCCATATGGAGCAATGTACATTTCTAAATATTTAATTTTCATTAAAATCTTCTAAAAAGTTAAATTTTTTAATCTTATACTATGAATAAATCAAATCTTTAATTTATATAACTTCACGTTGAGTAAATTTGAATTAAATCCTGACATTTTTTTGCAAATACATAATGAGATTTTCTGCTACCTTTGCAGTACAAAACTTTTTCTGTAAATTTTCCCTAAGAATGAAGTACTTTATATTGAATTATTCGAAATGAGAGACATTTTTATTAGAACTTTTCAATTTTATTTAAAAGCATTGAAGATAGAGGTTGTATTTTTACTTTCTCACATAACAGTTATTTATTGTTAGTACAGAAAAAGCTATGCAATGCTGCTTGAAATTATTTATGAGATTTGGATGGAAATGCACATTTTGGGGTCCCCTGATACTGAAAATGTGATGTTTTTTTAACTTTTCTTTTTTTCCCATCTTTTCAAAACATCCAACTGTCTATAAATACTAATGCCCAAACCATTCAAAGGATTTTTTTCAAAATGAATATTTCACAATCAATCTGGCCTGGAACAAATTCTTTGAATTTTGCGGGTATTTGGGAATAGAAACATTGTTTTATGTTAAGCTGCTTCCTTGAATAAAGCAAAGTTCGCTTATACATAGGGTATAAGTCCAATTAGCATTCACACCTGTAAACTTCCAAAATTGCAAATTCAAATCTCCCTTAGTTCTTATGCTAAAGGATGTCTTTTGACAGACAGCTAATGTATGAGTTGGATTCAATTTGTAATATTATAAAACAAATATTATGTATCAGATGAAGGACAATGTAAGCGTCATTGTAGCTTTATAAAAAATAAGTGAAATTGTAAGGCGTGGTTTATATCGGAGTACAACATGGAGAATGGTACTGCCACGAAACATTGATTTGAGAAGTGTATTCTATGAATATCATAGTTAAGTGACAATGTTTTTCACTTTATGGAACATAGTTTGGAATTGTTGAATTTGTGATGCGTGACCTTCAAAAAAGTTAGTTTTGTGTTAACATTTCCAGGATGTTCTAGATATATTTTAATAATAAAAGATGGATAGGTCAATTGTTTTTGATACACAAGTTCATATACTGTTTTGCAGATTTGCAATCTTTCTGTAATTGGGAGCTCTTTTTCAAGTAATCAAGGCTAGCTTGTGGAAATTATTCTTACTTGACCGCATAATGCCATGTGAATACTGTTACAATTGTGATTTAATCAGTTTTTTTTTTTTGTACATGGCAACCGTTTCTGGTTGCTAATGTAATAAAGTTTCATGTGAAATGAAATGAAATGAAATGAAGTGGTATGAAAGTTTGATATGGAGTTTGAAAAGTGATGGCTGACATGTAAATATGATCAGAAATTGCAGTGTTATAATATTACAAAATCATTACTGATGAGAAAAAGTATTTACAACAGTTGAACATATTGTGAGAATTGTTAACATACAATAACCACAGACACATACATTGTGTTTGAATCCCAGTTCGGGAAAATACTTCTCTGGTTTGTATCAATAAAGTGATCACAAACATACCTGTTGCTGGTTGTGAAAAAATGTACAAGGGAGTTCATGTGGATGGAATTTTCCCATAGGTTCAGTTAGAAGAATGATGTGTAAAAGTTACTAACAATACAAGACAGTATATGCTGTCGTAGCATCGTTACAAGCTTAACTTTTAAAACAACATGGAGAATTACCAAAATTGGCCAATAAAGGAAATTAAGTAAAATAAATGGCTGGATTTACTCCAGACATCCCTTAAATATTTCACACTTATGTAAAGCAGACTTGGAACAAGTCCTAAAAGTATCCAGAGAGACAAAGGTCAACACACACTATAGCAATTCTAAATGACACTTCTAAGACCTCACATCAATTTCTGATCTACATACATGTATGAAGCTCAAATGCTCCTTTGCACAATAATAATTGAATCAAAATCTCTACCTTAATAAAGATTTTATTAATCACATCAATAGAAATGATACTCAATACCACAAGAAGCCAAATGAAGGGTCTCTTCTTGTATACACTGTCCCTAACTTTGACAGCTGTGCCTCTAGAGAGAGAAACAAAAATTGCATGAATGTAGTTGTGCCACATTGACTTATCATAAGCTCACTGCATGCATGCCCATGCTTCATTACAAAGCAAAGATCTATTATCCTCTTCATTTCTTCACAAATGCAACATCAATTCATGTAGTTTACATCATTAGGGTCCCTGCACATGAGCGTTGCACTGATGTGTGTTAAGAAACAAGAATTGAAGAATAACACTGTATCTTATGCAAAACAGCATAGAGACGCATTGACCATGTTACATATGATACTGGGTTAATCTACGAAGTGTGTTACTGATCACGCGTCAAAGCAACGCTTGTGTGACAGAAGGTCATAGAGAAGCTGCTGCTATTGCGAAGACAACTATCAGCATCACCATGTGACTCGAAGATGACAAGGGCAAACATGAGTGTTAGAATTGATAGCAGTACTTCCTTACAGTATCAGTGAATGGAATTTACTTACATTACCTGCTCATTACCTGACAAGGATAAACAAACACTCTCCAAAGCTTCTCACAAGAAAATAAAATAACAGTAGCACTTTGAGAAATATAAAAGTAGTCATACCTTAGCAGATAATTCTCGAATAGCCACATCCCAGTGTTCAACTTTCTTATCGACCAAATGATTTATTAATACTTGTGTGTATTCTTCAAATTGGGCAATGAAAACACTAAAAGGTAGAACATATTTTATTTAACTAATGTCACATGATAATTATTCACACCACTTGCAAGTCATGAACAATTGTTTCATGCTTTCTTTGAGTAAATCAGATCAGAATTGAAAGAAATAAAAACACTATTAGGCCATAGACATACCTGATATTGAGAAAAGCATTATTCCGCACTCCGACACTGAAGTAATCAGCAGCAGTGAGAATATCGATTCCATGAGGGAATGTTCCTTGGCGACCAACATTTTCCTGAAAGGCAGCAGAACCAGCTCTCCTGCAATTCACCTGAATTAGAGAGACGAGAACATTATACCAATCATGAAGTTTAATAAAAAATAACTAAACATGATTTGAAAATGAACATTTCTACTTGCCTCTCTATCAAATGAAGCTACTACAAGTAAAGCACCAGCAATATCATTTACAAAAGGGAGAAGAATTTCTTTATCATAGGCTCTAGCAAATGCCCAGCATACAAAACATGCAGCATCACGAATATGGCTACCAACTGAAAAATACCCTCTGGGTTCATCATAAACTAGAGCCTTTAAAACAACAGGCACAACATCACTCAGTCTTTCCGGTACAAGGAGGCCTCTTCGCCCTAAGATAAACAATTAATAGACACATTAATTTGAGAAGCCTATTTAAATACCAATCTTTCGATTTGGCAATGACCATTTAATAAAAATAGCATGTTAAGTCATGAATCGAAAGATTAAAATTGTGTTAGAAATTATTTTTTAATACCAACTGCATTTTTATATTTTAAAGTTGGATAATACATTTTTTACATTACATTACATTTAAAAAAATTTTATTTCTATGATCTGCATGTTAAAAATAAACTTGATCAGTTAATTAAACTGGAAATCAGTAATATGCTGTAAAAGCTTATTTCTTTAACTTTAGTTTACAATTATTTCAATAATTGTCAGTTCACTTTTTGGAGCTTTTTAAAAGTCACTTGTGAAGTCATTAATAAGCAAGATAATCTATTTATTTGAACACGATATTCCTTAAGCGATTAAGAATAGAAGCATTATTATGAAATTTTACATCCAAGGAAAACTTTAGAGCAAAGTAATTTGATTTTATACCCACCTAATTCTGCCAATGCTAAGCAGCCTCCATGCCAAGCACCATCAGATTCTCGTGGATTAAACATTTCCAAAACAGAGCCAACAACTTCATCTGCAAGATCTTTTGGCAAACGACCAGTTACACGTCCAATACCTTTTGCTGCTGACCATCTATGTTCATGGAAGAAGAAAAAAAAAGAAAAAAGGAAATTATGCACCACCCAAAGAAATTGATATGTACTAATTGAATCAATTATTTTGCTCTGAGTGATGCCTTTTCAAAACCACTGGTGTAATTGCACACCATGGAAAAAAGTTATCTTCATTATTTTCAGAGAAGGTGAATTGCAAATTGTTTTTTTTTCATTTTTCACACCTCAAGAACTATATGTTTTGTAGAGTCTTTAGAGTTGCACAGCTTTTGACAGAGAATGAAATTTACAAACAATTGAAATACCCAAAACTTAATATAAAGTAATATCATGGAAATTATTTCATGAGCATTGAAATAAACAAAAGCTGACACTAAACGAGAGATTTTAGAGCAAAAATGTGAAAATACAAAGAAAGAAAAAGAACAGGAGGAGGAAGATGAAATTGAAACAATGAAGGGAAGGGAGAGAGTCAGAGAGAAAAGTAAGAACAAGAAAAAGAGAAATAAAAAGAGGTAATGAAAATGAGAATAAGGAAGACAACAGGCAAGAAAAACTGATTAAAACTTACTAAGCTTTCACAGAAAGCAGTAGACTTTATTGTACAGACTACATGGAAACAAACCAATAATAATTAGAGGTGGCACAACAGCAGATATTTTCTCATATTATTTGTAATAACTACGTAATATTAAAATATTAGTTGAACCTGCAAAAGTGTTTCCAATCTGCAAAACTATTTGCCTGGACTAGAATCTGAATTGGAGCATTTACATTCAGAAGGCAAAAATCATTCCTCTACCCTGTGGAACACATTATATAATGTGTGAATCAAATGCTGTAATTAATTTTTAATGATGAGGTGTTTCTAACATTGTCATAAGAGAACTCAAAATTACATGAAAATTCCCAATATTTTAAACAAGTGTACAAGAAATGATTTAAAGATCTAATATTGAGGATCATATTGGACTAAGAAAGCAGTTTGCCTAGCTTCAATATTGAAGGTATAGGACATGTTTGAAAAAAATTGAATATTGAGAGACTTTACTGTAAATCATTTTTATAAGGTTGCTCTCTAGAAGCAAAAAATGTTGAAACAATTTGGAGCTATTTTGAGAAAATATTTAAGCTTTATGTCAAATACCTAAAAAATTAAAAGATCAGTTTCAAATTCGATGGGTCCAGATTTGAGGGAAATTTTCAGGGAACATCTATTTTGGTGAAAATCCTGGTCAAAGTTTTAGGCGTTTATGCTGTTTACAGGCAAGAGATGGACGTTTTCAGAAGAAAATATTTTTTGGTATTGAGGACCACCCAATATTTATTTTGATTATTCAATGTATATGAGAAAGTAAAATACTTCAGATAGGAGTGAAAAAATTTAACTTTTTGGCATCAGAATCCACCAATAGAGCTTTTCTATCAGAAAGGCAGTACTTTTTCCTACTGTGTTAAGCTCAAAATTTATTCTTCAGGAGCTTTTGAGATTTTTTCTTCAAATGAAATTTGTTTCACACTATTAGTTCTTTAATTAATTCAATGTACATAAAAAAAATAATAGTTTTTGTGGAATTTTGAGTGATATATGGGCAATTTTAAAAACAAGATTTTCTCAAAATGGTCAAAATTTTTAAAAACTTTTTGTACGAATAGTGCATTTATGCATTTACTTCCCGCATTTAAGAAATCCCATTATAAGAGATTCTTGCCTGTTGTCGATAAGATTTTATTCCCTGCTACGCATTTCTCCTTGCTTGTAAGAGATAAAGCATTGAATTTTCCTTCAGGTGATTCAAGAATTTCATTAGCGTGGTAAGGGTTGGGACACATGCTCAAAAGAGACTGGAGCAAGGTTTTGCAACACCTGCACCACTGGGAGGGGGTGGGGGCAAAGTTCTCTTGAGGAAAGCTTGTTCTGCAATTTTTGTGTCTCTTGGCAGCAAGGAAATCTCTGTAGTGCCTACTTATTTCCAATTGTTTTTTAGTGTAGTGAAACTGTTTTCTGCCATGTGGATACAGAAATTTATTTAGCTTTGGTGTTTTCGAATCGTTATCGCTTCTTGGACAAATTCTTGTGGACATACGTTAGTACTACGTGTGTGAAGTTTTTTTTTTGTTTTGATCTTCTATTGATATGTGAGTGATAGCATCAAAACAAAAGGTTTTGTCGTTAGCGCAGAAGTAGGATATATTTAAAGAAATTGACAAGAGTACAGGGAAATTGCTCAGATCTGTGGTAGAAACACTGAAGATACCAGTTTTGTTGTTTGGAAAATTATCCAAAACAGAGGAAATCATCAATGCTGCTGGGAGGATGGGGATACAGTGAAGAAAATTCGTTTGTCACAGTTCAAAGAAATGGAAAAGATACATTTGGAGAGGTTTCAACAGTGCAGAGTTGTAAGTGCCCCTGTTGATGGGAATATTTGGTGGGAGAAGGCTCAAGAAATTGCCCTGCACTTAAACATTGAACACTTTTCTGCATCTAATGGTTGGATTGTTAGATTCACAAAGAGACAAGATATTGAGTTCAGAAAAATCTGCGGAGAAAGCAAAAGAGAGTGTGTGTGTGTGTGTGGAAAAAATTGTTGAGAGTGAAAGATAATATACCTTATATCATTGAAAAATATGAACTTAAAAGAAAACTGTTAACATAGAGAAAACAATAGCATTTAGAGGAGAGAAGTGCCAAGGAGGTACAAAAGTAAGGAATGTTAATATGAAATACAGGAAGTTGTCTCTTATTATGTATTAAATTCCATGTAATGCTTCACTTTTTTATGGTCAACTTAGGACTTTATTTATCCACAAAGCTCATAGTTACACATTAGTTTGTCATCATATAAAACCATATTATATAAACTAATGTGCAACTATTGTGCATGGATAAAGTCCTAAGTTGTATATAAAAAGTAAACCATTACATGGAATTTAAAATTAAGGAATGTTTTATCAGTTCTCCTTTGTGCAGTGTGTTTTCTTATCTTGGTAGAGAGAAATTGAAGCCACTAGTGATAGGAAGTTTGCAAAACCTTGATGCTTCTAATCTATTCAGTACCTTCCCTGTGAAATATAAAAACAACAAAAATGCCTGGGTGATCTCGGTAATTTTCATTGATTTTCTGAAGGCATTTCATGCAAAAATGGGAATTGCATTTTTTTAAAAATGCTTTCTCAAAAATGACTTCAAAATTTTAAATGAAAAATTGCATAGAGGTCCATGTATAACTCTTCTATAATATTCTTGAAGTAATACATTCAGTTCTACTTTTAGGGGACTGAAATATTGAGAAATTTCTCAACAAAAAAATAATTTAGGCCAATACATGGCAGCTGGGAAGAGGGTGGGCTAAACTAAAATGCTTGCTTAGATGCAAGGAATAGTAACCGTTCTAGAAAGAGAAACTGGTATTCTGTTGCATTACTAATTTTAAAGTGGAAGAAGTAATATGAAAAAAGATCTCTGTCAAAGCTACCAACAAACTGACTCTGAAAAGGAAACATAATAAATGTTGATAAACAGAACAAAACCGATGACACTTAGTGAAGGAAACCTGTAATGTATGTAATACAATTTGACTTGCTCAGTATTCACACCTTATTACCATTTCAGAGTCCCTCAACGCCTGCATTAATTCCTCTATCACCTCCTCCATTTCTTCAGGAATTTCAAATTCCTCACCAGTATCTTCAGAAGGTAATAGATTTTTTGAACTAGATGAATCATGTTTTTGAGTATCACCACCACTAAGATTAGCCAACAAGGAACGACAACCGCGTTCATATCTCCAGATAGCAACTCTAGTCTTCAGAAATGTTAATCCTGAAAGAAGAATGGGCATAGTTTGTAACAACATGAAGAGAATACCCTACAACAATTTAACAACGCATTAACATAACTAAACATAATTTCTCAAAATATAAATATTTTGACTGTCACAATTTTCTCAACAAGCACCACAAAGCTACATAATTTGTGATATAAAAACTCTGTAAGAGGAACAACATTCAACTTATGCATTTCAATAAGCTGTTGTCAGAATATTATATAATAATAGTAGAAATAAAGTTATGATACATTTATTTGTTGGTATGATGGTAAAAAGTAATATTTATATGAAGATGGAATGTTCAGATTATTTTAAAACCTCTGTTACTGTTTTTCCCCCTACCTTGCATCATTGAATACTAATGTTCTCACACAACATCAAATAAAGATTGAATAACAAAATATAAATAAAATGTTCCCGAAACAAATCACAGAATTTTTCCTTGCACACATAATATATAATGCCTTACATTTACTTTAAAATAAGACAGTGGAGTATGATTCATTTTAATGATGATTTGATGTAGTCTAAAAAACTACAGTTACTAATGACCATGATGTTCTGACATACAATATTAAGCATGTACAACTAAAAATCTTTGCAGTCGCTCAGTGAACAGTGCCTAGAATTTGCATGTATTATTACAATTTGATGATAATTTTATTTATAAATAAACAATTTTATATCAATAATTTCAGAAATGCAAAAATTCAAGAATGTAGATACAATATTTACACACTAAGATATTAATCCAATTCCAACACAAAAGTCACTTCAATAACACAGAGCCAATACTGTGTATATCACATACTATCACTCATCTCCTATCACAATACTATTATTGGCAATTGAATATATAGGACTTACAAAAATTACAAATTTTCAATTGGATAAAATAGCATCCTCATTAAAATCACTCTTCCATCATAAACTGAATAGATTAAATAAAAGAAATCAATTACCAATTCGTTGCATAACTTTAACTCCATACTTCCTTATAAGCGAGTTCTGATTCTCACGATACTTGCATCCCATTATCCATGATAAAAGGTTGGGAGCATGAGGAAGCAAATCCTCTCTTTTTCCATGCTTCAAAATTGCAGCAACTGATGCCAGAACACCACTTTGAGCATATGGTCCAGAAGCAGGATCACTGAAAACCTGCATAGTAGGCGGAATTTAACAATTATTTGAGATTCCGACATTTTTGTAGACAAATGCAAGTAACAAACTTTCGTGGAAAAGTTTTGAACAAACAAAATATTTACAGATGATAAACAATTATTCCAAGAGAAAGTATTATAAGACTTGTTAAATTATAACTTTTGTTATATATGAATCAAGAGAAGCAAAACTTATTGTTTATAATGTTTTAATTGTTTATTATTATATAATTTTATCCACCAGAAAGAAAATCATTAGTTCAATCTGATTAATATTAAAAACTGTCAACAATTAAAGAATTGAAATATATTTCTGTCTTCAACTTTTACTTTTTGCCTTATTAAGTAATAATGCACTGGTTTATCTTCTATACATACAGATTTCCATATTCTAGGGACCTTTATGCGGAAATTTGGCTTCATAAAATTATAACATATGTCAAATAATAAACAAGAGTGGATTCTAAATGATTTTAATAAGGGATACGAAACATAACAAATTAATACAATAAGAATGTATTTCAATCTGATAAACATTAGAAAATGAAAATTTGAGGTTTTAATTTCCAAACATACTTACTGTTTTACACCAATTTAAAAATGATGCCAAGTGTACCTCCTTCACATCAGATCGAGTCAGAAATCTTGCTGCCAAAAAAGACTCATACTGAATGTGTAATCCCTGTCTTAATGACAGTTTCACTTGTTCATACACTCTAAAATAAAAATAAAATAAATTTATTCGTACTCAAAATTTCAACATGAATTCATTGAGCAGAGCCTTTACCGTGACATCATTGTTTTCTTTCCTTCTGATGAATTGTCTCCAGGTTCAAAACTATCTAATCGAGACATATGAAATGGCATCATGACAATTATAGAGAGCCACAACAACAATACATTTCTTGTGCAAGAACAATCAATATCTTTGGGATCTATATTTTCTAACATTGTTAGAACTGGTTCCATATCTGATACCTGATAAAAATCATTGGAAAATAACAATCAGATCATAGGATATACACACAAGGATAGATAATTGCTATATATCAGGCACAAAGTTAATTACCTCATGAGGTAAATGTCGAACAACTACTTTATAACCTCGAACTTTAATCACCACTTGCAAATATTTAAATGACGCATGTTTGAGATCCATGGGAGAGTCATTGTTTCTCACCAGTTCTACAAGACTATTTAACATTTTTTCGAGATATGGGTCTAATAAATGCCGCTGTTCTTGGTACAAAGTTAAAACTTTTAAAAACCGTTCGTAAGCTTTTTCGGCTGGTGATCCCGTAGAATAGACGGTTCGTAAATCGTGAATCATTTTCATAACCTCTTCCGATTCCGAAAAATACTCCAACGCACATCCCAAACCAATATTTTCCACGGTTTCGTCATCATTATAACTTTCCTGAGCTTCCCCAGACATTTCCGGACTCATCGGACCATAACACAGACCACTGTCTTCGCAGCTGAAGCCCCACACCCCACACGTCCTGTCACTTCTAACAGCCGACCAGCCGACGCATTAAACGCGCGTGGAGACCTCAAGCTTGTGAGTCAAGTAGTGCTGTGGGGGTGGTGCAGGATGGCGTGAAACTTCTTCTTGAAATAGGACTTGTAAAAATTTGCTTTTGGGGGTTCAATAATGCTAATTTCATATCCCTGTGTTGACCATGATACGCTATTTGAGGGAGACACGGCCGTCTGCAATATCAAGATATTTTTACTTTCCCGTTTACACACTACGTAAATGCTGAGTAATATACGTAGTATAAGGAAAATTATGTAATGCTGCGGAATATCGATTTCGAGATTTAATCGGAAATACACGTTGTGGGGAATCCTGATACCGAAAAAGGGTATTTTTCAAACATTTTTCGTCTGTCTTTCGTCTGTCCGTCCGTCCGTCGACCCACCTGTAGGATTTTTTCCAAATTGATGGAACCCCGGTCCATCTGGCTCAAGTAGAAGCTTTGAGATTTTGAAAGAAAAAAAAATTAGGGGTACTTTACATGAAGCCCCCCCCCCCAGATATTTTCAAAATTTTCTGAAAAACCGCTCAAAATTTTTTAATCTTTCGTAAGAATAGAGTAAAATACACTTATAGAGGAGGCATTGGTCCGATTATTAGGGTTAACTCTAAGTTTTCGAAAATTTCAAAATTTTTCGGACGTCTTCCTACCACTACAAAATTAAAAATAGAGATTTTTACTTCAAATAAAATTTGTTCTCCATAGTGAATTATTTCATTTAGGCCATTGAAAATTTGAGTAGTTTTTGTGCAATAAGTGCAGTTTTAAAAAATAACAAAAAACAAGATTTTCTCAAAAACTGCTCCAAGTTTTTTAAAATCTTTTCGCACTCGATCGGATGATATAAACGTCTCATTGCTAATCTTTTGCTTTTTCAAAAATTACAAAAACGATTTTTTTTACTTGTCTTTCACGTAGTTAATATTTACACTAAGGCGATTAGTTCACATTATTATATTTATGAGTACATGTGCTTTAAATAATGTCTTTAAAGTTTCTCGAAAACTCAACGATATGTTATTTCAGTATCTGGTATTGGAATTACCATGAATCGTAGTAGCTGATAATATTATACTCCCGTTCAAACGTTCTCAACACCTAATGGCCTTGTGTGTTACCTCCATATTGAATATGAACTGGTCTTATTGCAATTTCAAAATTATAATCGCAGTAGCAAATACAGGTTTTGATGCTAATATTTGAATTGTAGTACAGCTTCATTTTTACGCTCTTTTTGCTAATTTGCACAAAAAATGCACATTGCACATTTGCATTGGCAGAAATGATAAATGCAAAAATGCAGATCATTCCCAATATTTTGTCGCAACATTTTTTGTACCTACAGTTGATTCTTCTCCGTATTTGCTTAACACTTCCATATTTTTCTCCTCTAATTTTTGAAGAGATTAAATCTTTACAAACTCAGTATAATTTGTGTTTATTTCTACTTCTGCAATTGCTCTACTAATCGTTTTGTATGTGAATCTAGTATTGCATGCGAATCTAACATTAAAAGGCGATTTTTTTATGTTTATGTGAATAAGGTGATAGTTAAGGTTAATAAAAATAAGTTGTCGGTTACATTTATTTGAAATCGGTATTTGCAGACTTATTTAACAACGTAAAAGTGTGAAGTCGAACATAAGAAAGTTCATTCTCTACAGTCCAGTCAAAAGGTATCTGACCCAGAAAAAAATTCCAAAAGTTTTTTTCTCAACAGTTCTATAAGTTTTTGAGGGTGCTGAATTCGAATTTGATGTTTGCCACCTCAAGAAAAGTCGGCTTAATAGAGAAAATTGCAAAAAACACTAAAAGTTTCACTCTGTTTTTAATTTTTCACTTATATCGCCAAAACCGTGCATTTTATCGAAACAATTGTTATTTAAAAAAATATAATATATCAAATTTCCTGCAAAATACATCCTTTAACTTTAAATATCTGAAATACTGTTAAGGCGCTAGAGCGCGCTGAAAAGCGGTTACTTTTTGGACCTCTGGCGAAAGCGAGAGAATAGGTCTTTCTGGCCATCCTATCTCGCGGCGGCGCATTTGCTTCACTTTATCATGCTTGAAAACAGATATTGTGATCATATAATTGTCATTGTTAAATGATTAACACTCCCATACTCACGGGATCAATAGGGTCGTGTTAGCTCGCTAGAAGTATCTATAAATCCAAAACTCAGATAACCAAAAGAAGGGAAATATTAGAAAATTATTACGTTTTGTCATTGTGTGCCAAATTATGAGTAATGGTAGAAATAGCACTAATGAGAAAATTTTAGGTATTAAACAAAAATATTGAACCAGATAATTTCATAGATGTTTGGAAATGCAAAATTTAGGTTAAAAAAGAAACAGAGTATCACTATAGAATAAAACGAGTGTAAGGAATCATCGGACAACAGATTATATCCACTTGCCGATATAGTGTTTTTAAAAAATGCGATTTTTGTTTTCTCAATTACGAATATTATTTATATTATTATTAGTCAATCACTGAAATGGTGGAAACAAGTGTCAACAGTCCTATGTAAGTGAATTGCCGATAATTATGTAATTGTCTAAGGAGAAAACAATGATAAATCGCATTTTTAAATTACTTCAGACTTTATTTACTGAGAATTAAAGTATACTAAAGTATTAATTTAATTACTTTCAATTAATTTACCACAGAGTGAGGCCGTAGAGAGATGGACTACATTGACAGATGTGCATAGAATCCGGCTCTACCAGATGAAACGTTGCAACGGAGAAAGACTGTCACATCACGAACTCATTGCAAACTAATATGAACATGTAATATTTCCAGTTATATTACGTGTGCTTAATGCATTACAGGGTGTGGGCATTTGTGATAAAACGTTGGAGGATGGAGCTAATTTTAATGAAAGGGCACAGCTAATTTTTTGTGAAAGGGGGTTGGAATATTTGGTCGAAGCGAAAGAGAGGCGACAGGATGGCATGTTTTTTCATTTAAATGTAACTCAACAATAATTAAAGCCACAGTAAGTATAGGAAGCAACACGGAAACGAAAAAATGATTTCTGTTTACGTGAAGAGAGCTCAAGAAGAGGTTGAATCACCTTGACTACGTTCATATATACCTGACTGTCTTCAAAACCCATTGTTTTATTTGTGGAGAGGAGGAACCACGAGACTTCACGAGACACAAATCAAAAAGCAAAACGAAATCTATTATATTCTATGAGGACATTAGCTGTTATGATTCGCGAGAAATCGTAATAATTTTTGACATTCTATTGTATACTGCAGTAATTGCGTAGAAGCAGTAAATTTCTTGTTAGATGCTTATTTGATGTGCATGAAATCATTCATCAATTCCCAAAGAAGACAGGAACCCAAACCATAGACGATGAGACGCAGAGACGATGTAGATTTAGGGATACAAACTATTTTTAGTTCTCTTGGAAATAGTGACGAGGAATATCAATTTACTATTGAAGAATTAATAAAAGTGTTTGAAGATGATTTTCTTCCTCGACAAATTCAGCACATATAGAACTGTTGAAAAAAAGGTTGATCCGGAGTTTTTTCCTGGATCGGACTCTTTTGAGCACCGATTGACTGAACAAGTAGCATGACGCACTATTTTGCTTTCACCATATTCACTTGAAATTTGTCAAGGTTAATAAGTTAGTAGGTTTACGCGAAATTAAAAAAAATACGATAATCCGAATCTAAATTGAAATTAACCTGCAGCACGATTTACTCGGTAATTCAACTGTTCACTTAAAGACGTCAACATCGGTGTTACCAACGTCGCGAAAGAAAATCATGGCGTATTTTATGGCGAATTATGGCAAAAAATACGTGTTTAATCAACGCGATTTAGGAGGCGTTGGTTTAATTCCTGGCACTCACTAAAATCGCAGCGTCAAACACGAGAAAAACGTTTTCGGAAATTTCTTTGAATCTTCTGGTCGGATCGGAAAACAAATAATCAGTTCCCCATCAGGTGACCGAGACGCGTCAAATGACACTTCATACTCTCGATTGGTGCACGGGAAGTCGTCTAGCCGTCAGTGACGGAACCGCAAACATCCGCACTACCGCACATCCGCACACTACCGAGTTTTACTCAAATACTGTATAAGGATTTCATTTATTATTATTAATATTATTATTATTATTATTATTATTATTAATATTATTATTAATATTATTATTATTATTAATATTATTATTAATATTATTATTATTAAAATTATGTTTATGTTATTTCATTTTAAATTGCTTCCTTTAATTGCGTTAAATGTGAAAACGAATAGATGAGCGGTCATTGTTGATTATTGTTACCTATTGTGGTAAGGTCGCACAGATAACATGATAATGACGACTGGTTTTCATTCGCAGAAATAAAAACTAATACTTTTACATATTTGTAGAATATTACAAATTCATAGTATTTAATAATTACTATTATATATTATTCGATCTATTTGTTTTCTAACGCTATCAATACCGTATTATTTATTAACTTTTAAATACTATACTTTCTTGAATTTGCTTATTTTTCGCACCAAATGTTCTACGATTTCAAATGTTTTGCAAAAAACAATTCGGAAAAAATTGTGGTATAAATAGTGTCTCATAACCATCAATAATGGCGAGAAAGTACGTACATTTTTACCACCAATAGTTTTATAGTGATACTACAGAATGGCACAGACTTTCCCTTATTAGTTTTCTAATTCCTTTAGTGTCGGCTACCTAGGGGCGGGAGAGAGAGAGAGAGGGAGAGAGAGGGAGAGAGAGAGGGAGAGAGAGGGAGAGAGAGAGGGAGAGAGAGGGAACGAGAGGGAGTGAGAAGTAGCAAGAGAGAGATGTTGGCAAGAGGGGTTTCCCTCAACCAGGAATCTCTCACTAGGCACTGCCCCTTCCAGGACAAGCTCTAAGCACCCGACCGCTCTCTGGCATGTGCGGTAGTGTAGTGCATGTTAGTGTGAGGGTAGGACAAGGTAGAGGATGGAACGATCGTGCGCGGTCCGTGGCCCGTTTGTGAGGATACTACTCCGGCATTCGGTTGACTGAATTCCTCCTAGCTGACAAGCTAGTGTCGAATATCCGTCAGGATTCGAACCTAGGCCTCCCGGCGAGAGGGACTGCATTGACATCAGTTGATGCCCTGAGCCATGTCTCTCGGTGAGAAGCGTTCGCAGATGACTTTTCAGCGGGACCTCCGCCCTCAAGGTGACGCGTGCAGCCACCATGGTTGCCTCCAACTCCGCAGCGTGAGATGGCGCCGTTCAAAGCTTAGGTGGCGTGTGAGATCGTAAATCAAATTTCCAGGCGGCGCTTGCTCCGGTGACAGAGTCGCGATAAAATGTGCGCGCCACGTTGCTCCTGCGCATCAAGCAGTGATGGCCCAGGGGCTAGGCATGCGCCAACTCTAACCTTTTTTGGGGACTCAATTCATTCAAGCAGTTACCACACATTAGAGACACATTAATCACATCCCTTTTCTAAAAAATAAGACAAATTTATAAAACAATTGAAATATTCCGGGAATAGGAATTGATGTACTTTTAAAATACTGAAAAGATATTCTGTGAAATTGCAAACAGGCCGACGGGGTCCAAGGGGAGATGAATATAATGTTCCACCTATTCTTCGCCGTCGGCACAAGGAGGATGTTGTGTGGGGAGCCCATCGTCCAGGTCGCCTTTTTCACAGGAAAGATCCTGACATTCTCTTGGAAAGAAAACTGAGTCGACATCAGAGCAGCCCTGAGTAGAAATTACCGGATAAAAAATACCAACCTTTGTCGGTTTTCAAACCTGGATCCTTCAAAGCTGGAAGTCAGCCTCCTACTACTGATTCAGTGCAGATCCTTTTCATGTATTGCGTTATCTCAATTATGACGCTTTTATTTGACATTTTGTTACTGGAACGAAGTTCATGTACATTTATAAAAAAAAGGTGTATTTTTTAAATTTTAAGTATTTGATAAAAAAGAAAAAAAGGAGCGAATTGAAGAAGAGATATAGCTTTTGTTTACAATCTGAAATTGTAATGAATAGAGACCAAGTTCTCCCTTTCCAAAATACTAATGTATTTGAATCCAAAAACCAAAAATTTATTTGAAGTACAGAAAATAGTCATCACTGAAAAAATGCAAATGTCAATAAAATTGACAAAATGTTTCCGAAAATGTTTTATCAGAAGTAAGTTGCGTTTTTACGGAAAGGAAGTTCAAACATAATAAAAAAAAAAAGGAAAAGGATTTGCTTTTGTCTCGTTGACTACTCCAGTAGGTATAACTTAGCTCATTTTTTGTGGTAATTTTTTGATTTTTTATTGTTAATAGAAATATTTTTGCAGTTTCGTTTTGTTTGAAGAAAGCCCAAATATTCTTTACAATTAAACGTGAATTAAATAGATTGATTAGTAATTCCAGGCGTGTCAACTGCTAAGCACATTCGTCCCATGAGTGTTGTGCATGTTTTCGCCTAGGAGTTGGCGGTGTCTTTCTCCGCTGAATGGCGAAATCCGGCGCCGACCTACATTGGCTTAAGGGAATTTTCCCGACCAGGTATCTCCCAACTGCGGGACAGCGCCCCAACCTAGAAAAGGTCTAAGCTCCCGATTGGGTTCCCAACAAGTGTAGTGGTATAATGCGTGTGAGTGTGCGTGTAATTATGAGGTGGAGATAGGACAAGGAACTGGAAGCAAAAATCGCGCGAGGTCTGTGACATGTGTGTTAAGGTTCTTCTCCGGCATTCGCCTCGTGTAGATCAGAGAAACCACGGAAACTATCGATTCGAGCAGCCTCTAGCTAATGTCGAAAATCTTGCCACTGTCGGAATTCAACCTAGGTCTTCACTGTTAGAGGCACTGCAGTGACATCAGTTGAAGCTCTGTGTCTCTTTTACCTGTTGGAAATATAAAGGACAAAACAAGCCAGAGTATCCCAACCATGAGACTTTGGGCTTGCGTGAGTGAGAAAAAGGGGTGTGTCCTCATTTTCATTGCAAAAGACTCAAAACAGATGAATTTAATTATAAGTTACGTTATAAATCCGCCAATAATTGAGTGTTTCTCAGGGAAGAACAAAAGCAGTCTACATCCATGAGATATGGAACTACAGAATGGAAGATGCAGGATAGGGGACAATTTTATGTCAGTTTTTGCAGTTTCTTTTTACACCATGTTTGATTGTAAGGCGCCTTTTAAGGTTTTGCCTGAGTTCGCATCCTGAGCTCGGCGGTCGCCTGAATGGCCTTTCACGGCTCGCCTTCATCCGCGCGGGGGGGCGTTTTCGTCTGAGAGAGGGCGTGGGGGCATCGGACGCGGGGGACAGCATTTGGAACGGGTTACGCACTAAGATCTCCAGAATAGGGGCCACCATGAACGCGAACCCCGGTGAAAGTACCGGCTGACAGGGTTCACTAATGTCATTGCAGTGCCTCTGACAGGGATATCGTAGGGTTCCACCCCCGACAGTAGCAAGATTTTCTACACTCGCTAGATGGCTAGGTCCCGTTCAGTAGCTGACTGGAGGAGAAATCTAGCGGGCGACCGCTCTCGTAGTTTTCCGTGGTTTCTCCGATCAAAACCAGGTGAATGCTGGAGCAGTATCTTAACGAACGGGTAAAGAATCGCGTGCGATCACATTCCTCTTCCTTGTCCTATCTTAATCCCTTACTTACACATACTTATACTTACATGCACTACACTACCACACATGTTAGGAGATAAGTCGTTAACTTAGAGCTTGTTCCGTCTGAGGCGGGGCCTCGCTGGAGGGAGATACATGGATGGGAAAATCCCGCGATTCGTCTTGTAGATTCGCACCGGATCTCACTATCAAGCGGGAGAACACCGTGACAAAAATGCATTACACTTACGGGACTATGACGCATGCAAGAAATAATCAACCGATGAAAATCATGAGCAAATAAATTTCGTTGGTATCAGTTTTTTTCACGGGTCTGTCGCCTCAGAAGATCGTAATAGTCTGAGTAAAAGGTAAAGGGAAAAAGTATCACGTGTTTGGAGCTTGTGCAGGGGTGTCTGAGTGAAAATTCGCACGTCTTACAAATGAGAAGCTGGACATTAGAAAATAAAAGTCCGATAAAAAGGGATAAACGCACAAAATAAAAATCAGTCAAGATGTAAAGGCAGGAAAATGCATGAGAGGCCATGAGTAGCAATTAGTAAAACACCCTGATGAAACGCACGTGCTTTTGCCGTGCTGCAGATGGTGATTCCTCCCCTCCGACTGACGAAACCATTCTGAGCGTGAACTCAAGGTACGAATACGTTACCTCAGTGTGGTGTGATAACCGTGTTTATTCACCAAAGGAACGAGTTATAAAAGACAATATCGGTGTACGTCGCCAGTTAGGAGAGAGCGGTTGTTACTGCAGTGTCTTGAGCTACTTGAATTCACACCATGAAAAGGTATGTTTCAGCAGGGAATATACATGGCTTCGAGCGACGACAGATGTCAATAATTTAGCGAATCAATTATTAATTAGAAATCAGGTTCAATGAAAGTGATAATTCAGGTTGAATAGTAATTTAATATTATCATCGAGAACGTTTTTGAAATACCCTTACAATATTTAAAATCAAGAACAAAGGTTGTTTAGAGATTTGGATGTGTGGAGATTTTCATATTGTTCGGCGCTGATTTACACGTTCATTTATTACAATTTGTAAGTTATCTTCTAATTTCGTCATAATGACCCTCATTATTTATATAGACCGATATATTTGAATCTTAAGCCTTACTTTCATCTTGTTTGTATTTTCTGATTATATGATTGACATATACATAATTCTCGTTGAAATATGAAATAGAAATAAGTCTGCGATGTGTTTCATTCGATTTGTTATTTTCAAAATTCGGGAAAAATGAGAAATTCTATGAAAGTTCCGAAAAACTAAAATCACTCTTAAGCTTGTGTTTCGCTTCAATGCAACTATTTTTCATTTCTCACTTAAACATTAAATATATTCTTCGTGATACATTATAGGTAACTCAGTGGTTATATCAGTAGTAGTAAGTAATCGCAAAGGCAAATGATCTACCAAGATGATTCTTGAAAAAATAATACTTTATTAATATTGTTGTCAAAAAGAAAAGTGTAACGTTAACTGTAGTACTTGTTGCACTGTTGTTAGATAACTTGGTCTTCATCTGGTATTTGGGAATTGAAATATTCCACAAAACCTTCTGAACCAACGAAGTTATTGATGACTTCCCAACTTGGCATGAAATATTTTGAGGGGCAGAGAATCAAAGAACGGGAGTTGCGATGCAAAATATCCCCCCTTTTCACTTTTCCGTATACATACGTATATACGGAGTAATATACGCAATTCAGGGAAAGTTACGTAATACTATGGAAAATCGATTTCGAATTTCAAATACAAAATTTCAAATACATGTTTCGCGGTCCCCTGATACTGAAAAGGTGTTTTTTTTCAAAACGTCCGTCCGTCTGAAACACATGAACAACACCAGCATCTAAACCATACGTAGGATTTTTTCCAAAATGAAGAAGCCCTTGTCGATCTGGTCTAAGCCAAAGCTTTGATATTTTGAAAAACATTCTTTAAAATTTGAAATACTTTACATGAATCCCCCGATTTACAGTGTTAACTGAATATTTGAAAATGTCAAAATTTTGCGGGCGACTTCCTACAACAACCAAATTGAAGATAGAGATTTTTCCTTCAAATAAAATTTGTTCTCCTTAGTGAGTTCTTTTATTAAATAAAGAGTTCATTTTTTGAAAATTTTAGTAGTTTTCGCGTAATATTGTCTGCAATATGTGCAATTTAAAAAATTAAAAAAAAAAAAAACAAGATTCCTGAAAAATCGCTCCAATTTTTTTTCTTTAAAATTTTGGTAGGGATAGTGCTGAATGTACTTTACAAGGTGACATAAACATCAGTTTGCTCCATTCTTTTGTTTTATCAAAAATTACAAAAATGCCTTTTAGTAGCCTTTCACGCCGTTAATATTTATATTAGCCATTCTGTTCAACCACTAGTTTTTACAAAATATTGTTCTAATGCAACCCGCACTTCATTCACGTATTAAGGAATTGCGTTGCAGCGGTGTGGACAGGTGCTGGACAGGGCACGCAGATAGTCGATACAGTGCGAGGCGAGTCTTGTCGGGAACGGGGAGGAGCAAGGTTGAGTGTTGGCCCGGAGAGCAGGGCAGTGGAGTGCGACGGTGTGAGACAAGCAGGGAGGGAGCGGGGTGATGTCGAATGGAGTGGGGCCGGGGGGAACGCGACGGGGCGGGACGGAGTGCAACGGACCGGGGAAGTGCAATGGAAAGGCGTTTTCCTACATATTCTGATTAATAAATGCTCGGATAATGTCGGGTCACTTTCACAGAATTGGTTATCCACAACCGATATATTTAAACAAGAGGAAGTAGCATTACCTCTTATATCAACTTCACCGTGTAAATCAACGATGTTTACCAATATCGTAGTCTTCGTTTTTAAGGTGAAAATGTATACGTTGGCTGTGATACAAATGGAACAATGTACTTCAATGTAATGTCTCACTTTGATGCAACTTTCACATGAAATTTCTAGTCTGCGCTCATCAAAAGACTGAAGAGTTCCTGTGAGTATGCACAGGTCAACTACAAGGCATCGGAGAAAAAAAAACCTTTTTTTAAAAAAGTTTTTGTTATGTGGCGCTTAGTAGTTGAGCAGGCTTTGGTACCACAGACCAATAGCGCTGAAAATTATATTCGTATTTCACATTCTTGTTAAACCTCTATTTGTTGTAAAAGTGTTTAAAATATTTTTTCATTATTCATTTCTGTCATCATCTGCGATTCTTAGTAGAGTTTGAGTTCTTTTTATTTCGACTGCTACGTCTGTTCTACATATACAAAAACAATAAGACAAAACTGATAATTTTCGAAGGGGGATACAGTTGTAATTGATTCATATAAGACAGATATTTGTTACAATTGGTCGAAATTATATGAGTGAAATAATCAATAAGTAATACATTGCTCAGCTTATTCAAAAACGCTTTTCAGACGTGCTTCTAATTTGAGCCTTTTGGGGAGTTTTATTATTCGCTAATAATTGATGTTCACGCATGGGCAGTTGTGGCATTACATAAGTACAAATATCAGAATGCAAATTATCACAAAATCTACAAACGGTTGATATCTTATTAACATGCCTAAATTCCCGCTGCATTTTAATGATCTTGGCCTTATAATTTCTATGTATAAGATTGTGTATCACGTGCTGTGTATTGCGACGTCAGCTCGATATGAGCCGAACCGGCAAGCAGATCGTAGTTTGAAGACCCCTACTCTAGAATGCAGCTTTGTGGGGTACTTTTGAAACCGGAAGGGTTCGGAATATAAATCAAATTCCACTCTTTACATATATTTTATTTCCCAATCTGCAATTACATACTTTATAAGCTTTATTGGTATTGGTACTGTGTGAAAGAAGAAAAGTAATCATTCTCCGACGAAAATATATTTTACAGTAATTATATTTTTGAGAAAAGTAACAATACTTTTGTTTTGTAGCACCTTTTGTACTACACATAATTAAAGTAATCCCACTTGAGTCATATATATTGATCTATGGTATATCTGTTTTTGATAAGCGTTTTGAGCTACTAAATTGAAGTAGGCCGCATCTCTACCAATTAATAACGTGAATGTGCACCAATTATTGAACAATGTAGTTATTTAAAATCTAACCTAATAGGTGTACAATTATGTGTGTATTTGATCATTTCTTATATATCAGGGACATTTACATCAATGAGATTTGTTTGAAGTTGTTTCAAGCTTGTTGAAATGGCTTTTGGCTGCGATTCTCTAATCCGGATGGATGCAGCAATAAATATCGTAAAATTATTTTATAGAGTAAAAGTGTAGTTTCTAGGTATAATGAGGAACGTCGATCGATACCGTGATACAAGCAGTCATCGTCTTGTTCAATTTAACGTTTATTTAATATGAGCTGACCAAATGATATGTGAATCTAGTTGTTATTCAAAGTATTCAATTTTGTCTTCTGATGATGTAATGGTGGATGCAGGATGAAGGTTCATATTTTATTTTTAGTAGTGTAGGTTGCTGTAGAGCAATGTTTAAAATATGGGTTTATTTACTGGTTTAGTATTCACAGATCGAACATACGTTTTTTAAGCCAATAAAAGTCCAGCTTATATTATTAAACATGCATTATATTATATCAACATGTATCTGAACGTTAGGCGAAAGTAATTTCAGTTGAATACTAGTATATTTTTTAAATGAACATTGTGCTACTTTAATACCTTGTTAATGAATTTTAATGCGATTCTATTAACGTTATTCAAATAACACTTTTTTGAAGAAATGGTTCTATTATTATTAAAGTATATTTAAGTACAGCAATAAAATACAGTTTATAGACACGAAATTCATGCCATACTCACTAAAAAGCTTGTTGGATATTAAAAATATGTTTCGGAGATTGAAATCCTTTGTGAACATTTTCAGTAATTTTAAGGACTTGAGTTGAAGTACGGTGTGTTCTTAAACTGCCATTGGGGAATGTCTTCTTTAAAATTTTAATATTTTAGGAAAATAACGTCTTCCATTATGTAGTGTCATTTTCCCAATATTCTCAACACGTCGGTCGTTACAGACCGACCAATTTTCATGGGTGATAAGAAACCTGATTCATTCCTTCTCATTGTCGTAGTTGCACTGCTGCTCTGAAATATTGTTTGTATTTGTGTGACTTGTGACGAGGCATATCAGGCATGAAAGAAATGTTTGAATTTGATTACATATGAATTTTATTAGTCTACTAAATGAGATATAGTGGCAATCAAATAATGCACTATGATTGAGGGTTACACATGATCGCAAGCGCTGTTAAACACTAACATACTTCTAATTTGTTGAACTGTTGTGTCTCTTTTGTTGAACACTGACCCCTTCATCACCCATTTTTCACGGCTGCGTGAGATATGGAATCCGGCACTCGTAGGTATGTCTCTAGGCCGGGGAGGGTCTAACTCCTAGCAAGGTTCCTTTTGAGCGGCATCATAGTTTCAACATCATTGTTCAAAGTCCAATGGTAGTGGGGAGGGTGGTTCAGTTACTTCAGAGTTATGCCAATTTGGCTCATGAATACCTTTTCGCGCATTCTATTTCGAGTCTGATGAGGGCTTCTATTTGCACATACCGGTGTTGTTCTCTCTGTCTTCACTGCCCTGAACTAATTTCGCGACGAAATGCCTTATTAAGAGCGCGCCGATATCGTACGAGCCAGGCGACCGTCTATGATTCAAGTCAGATTGATTGTTAGTGATCCTGGGAGCGTCAACTGCTCTCATTAGGTCCGCAAGTATACTGAATTAGTAAGGCTTTTTTTACCTCGGTCAGGGGCGGTGATCTCCCCCCGCTGTATCGCGAGATCAGGTTCCGACCAATCGTAGACTAGCTTGGTTCTCCCCCACGAGGTATCTCCTACTCGCGGGGCACCGCCCAAGCTGGGACAAGCTCTAAGCTTCCAACCGGTCTCCCGACAAGTGTGGTATTGTAGTGCATGAGAGTGTAAATGTGTGTAAGTAAGGGGTGAGGATAAGACAAAGAAGACGAAGCAAAGATCGAACGCTGTCCTTGACCATTTGTTACGGTCCTGCTCCGGCATTCGCTTGGTGTTGATCGAAGAAACGACAGCACAGAAAACTAACGATCAGAGCAGCCGGCCGTTAGAATTCTCCTCCAGGCGGCAGTTCCATATACATAGCTGACAAGCTATTGTCGAAAATCCCGCCACTGTCGGGACTCGAACAGAGTACCTTTCGGTCCGAGACACTGTAGTGACATCAACTGATGCTCTGAGCCACCTCTCCGCGAAGCCGCGGCGGAAAGCGCAACGTTTGCGACCGACCGCTTTCGTCGTGAGTGCCAGAAGAGGCGAGCGTTCGCGTGAGCCGTGAACCTGGTTCCTCCGGATAGGTTGTAGGTTGCGGTTAGGGTGGCAATCAGAGGCCACTGTACGAATATTCCACTTGACCTCCGTTACGATGTCGCCAGGCGAACGCGTCTGGTCCGCACGTGTCACCGCGGCATTTATTTGGCTTTTATGTTCTGTGTTATATTGGACTTTAGACTGAATTTATCCACTATGTCAACGACAATATGACATAATGGAGACATGCAGACTAGAGTTCGGTACAACTCAAAGCATAAAAAGAAATACGTCAAAAGATTTTGACTTAATGTGTTTCTATTGTAAGAGGACGATTATCAAAAGACCGCGCGGTGACACGTAAATGGAAAATACTGTGTTTGAATCTAGCCTCCGTAAATTAGCTTCGTTAATTTGGAATTTACAGCGATTTAAATTTAAGTTTATTATTCTTTTTGAGTTTTGTCAAAAGAAGTGCATGTTAGATAATGTTTTTAATAAAGAAAATTGATTAATTTAAAATCGAATCACTATTGATTTGAACGTGTGAATAAAAGGATTTTACATAACACCTTTCAGCATATGTGCTAACTAAATTACATTTATCATGATGGTACATACCTCATTTGTTTTCAATGTAAGTAAATAATTATTTAATTTTCTTCTTATAGATTAAACTTGCTGTGCCTTCTATTCCTGATATGCATACTGAGTTGTGCATTCCTTGACGCGGAAGCAAAATCAAAAGACAAAAATAAAGAAAAATATAATAAAAAATATAAGACTGAAGGGAGTCCAAAAGAGGGGAAAAATAAATACTCTAAGAATTCTCAGGAATATGCAGAACAATCAAGGTACGTACTAAACATTTCTTACATGGACAAAATACAGACATGAAAAGAATAATTCAAAAGAAAAAAGTTGAAATATTCTTCTTGGTCAAAGTTTTATTAGTATACTACAATATTAATATTTATATTGCAACGTGTTGCCCATGAATTAAAATATTACTTTTAAATTACGTTGCGTGGTTGTTAAATATGTACAAGTTTTATGAAACAAGGTTTTATTTTTTTACAGGAAATACAAGAAACAAGTAAATGAAAACCTTGAACTAAACCCTCAAGAGGATGAACCCGTAGAAATTGTTGAAAATCAAGAACCAGCGCAGAAACCTTACAAGCAGAAAAAAGAGAAAAAGCCATATACTATATCAGTGGAACTTCTGGAGGAGCCAGAATTAACAAACGGTAATAAAATTAGTTCTGAAGAACAAATTGACTCGGCTGTTCGCAAAGAAAGTAAACAAAAGCCAATCAAAAGGCAAGGATATCAAAATACTAAGAAAATCCAACCACCAAAACCAAGTGCTGAAGATACAGCGGATTTCATAGTCCATGTGCCAAAGAAGAAGAAGGGCACGAGGCAAGTTTTGGTGTTTCAAGTCCCTGCGCAAGATGAACAAAATGAAGAAGAAGAATTGGCAAATGCAGTCCAGCAGTATGTCTCAGATGAGCAAGAAGCAACTGTAGAAGAGGACTGTGGATGTGAAGAAAACACTGTAGAAGAAAAATCTTCAAATATGTGTTACTATTAATTCATTTTGATATTATGAATGTCATATGTTTTGTTAGCTTTAGAAGTTTTCCTTAAATCAACACTTTTGTTTTCAAACAAATCATTTTGAATAATGTCCTTTCATCAGTATTCATCTCAGTGCCTCTCACAAACACTATATATATATATATATATATATATATATATATATATATATATATATATATATATATATATTTAAAATAAATGATTTTCTTTTGTTAATAAAGTATGAAACGAAACATGTTTTATATTGAGTGATATTAATGTTCAGAAACGTCATGCGTTTAATAGATTCGCAAATTTTCATAATTATTGAGTTTTATTTTGATATTATAATAATTATTATTATTTCAAAAAATATTGTCACGTGTGATAATGAAATTTAACTCAAGAACTCAAGTAGCAAGTAAATATTATCCTTGATTATGTAAAAATTTACGAATATCGAAGAATTACATAGGCTAGAGGAAATAATTAATTATTCATATAACAAGGAATTTAAATGGAGCTTCAAGACTCATTCACTCCTCCGTAGTCGTAGGTTGCCCGCGGCATTAGTATGGTCAGTGTGATGACATCACACACATTGCAAAGGTATTCCAATTTTTATTTAATGCTAAATTTATTTATTTATACAATTATTTTTACGGGCAAATCAGAAATAAAATTGCTTTCAGCTACCCCCGAAATACTTAAATGATCCACCCTTGAATTCTTTAGTTTTAGAAGTCAACTTTCGTCATCACAAAACTGTGACTCATTATTTTTCGAATAGGAGCTCGGCATCCGCTGATGAAATTATTTTACAATTTCTCCAGTATCGCTAATTCCTTGACGTTTAAGATGGGTGTTAACTAGCGCTGCTTCCTAGTTAATAAACAGTAGAATCCCAATGAGCGATGTAGCGTTTACCTTGTAGATATTCATTTTGCCCGGAATATTAGTAATATGGAGAGTTCTTTAATGTATGCAGTGCGACAGAGCATGGCGAGTATTCCTCCTCCGGTTGGTTGGTTTATTGATTGATTTATTAGTGATATCGGTTGCGTCAAGTACTAAGGTTATCAGTCGCGAGAGTTTAGTGCATGCTTTTTCTTTGCTCGGGAGGTGGCGATGTTCTTCCCCACTGAATGGTGAGATTCGGCGCCGGCCTACCGTCGGCTTGCGGGGAGTTTCCCCAACCAGGTCTCCCACCAGTGGGGCGCCGCCTCAGCCGGGGCAAGCTCTAAGCTTCCGACCGACCTCCCAGCCTGTGTAGTAGTGCATGATAGTTTAAGTGTATGCAAGTAGAGGGTAGGATAGCACAAGGAATGGGGAGGAAAGATCGCTAGCGGGCTATGCTCGTTTGTTAAGGTACTGCTCCGGTATTCGTGTAGTATTAAACGGAGAAATCACGGAAAACTACCGATCGGAGCAACAGATTGTAAAAACTGCCTTTTATCCGTTTGAAGGTTGTATAATATTCAATCTACAAAGGGATAATATATTATGTTAAAACTAGATTAGGAAGTTTTGGTTTGTCTCTATCTTACAACAATAACAACAACAACTGGGTTATTTATACTAAGATTTACTGATGTAATACAAAGAGATGTACTGTTTTTATTCATTGAGAAGTATTTTTTAATGAAAATAATTATTTTATTACGCGGATTTAAGCCCATCAAAGTCATGTGTGTGTGTGGGCCCAATAAACTTTACACTTCTTTCCCTTGGAAAGAGTACGTACACAACTTGTACAACGTAAAACTGGTTATTTGAAAACTAGATGACGTTCAGTAATATTACACATGCGTATTGACGTATAAATATTTTTCACAATTGAACTTAGTTTACATGTATAATACTAATTTAAAAAAATAAGAATCTAAGGCAATATAGTTGTTTTATCTCTTCATGATTTTAGCGTAATTAAATTTATCTATTATCGTTTAAATTTTGACCCAGAAGCAAACGAATAATGGTCGTTCATGTAAAAGTCTAAAGAACAGTCTAGGTCTAGGCTTTCACTCACGCCACAAGATTAGAAGAGCTAAGTGAATCTGCGGTGCTACGCTGCGAATTGTTACCCGAGGTAAACGTGAATTTGATCTTCTCTGGCAAGAACGGGAGGAAGATGATTTCTGAGCAGAAATGAGGCGGCCCTACGAATGTACGTACAGGCAAACGTCTATTTTTTAGGAAACAGGAGAGAAAGCGGACACTACAGTCTCTATGCAGTAACACTCTGTGAAACAATGACAATGTTTGTTAGGTCAAAGTACTTCGTTATGCAAGGGAGTCAAGAGACCATAACTGTTAGATTAATCATATTCGTAAAGGGCATGTTTAAACACACATTCATAGTACAGTTTCTGCTTAGTGTCGAATCAGAAGGCAACTCGTGAAATTTGTCGGTGAGGTTTCCTCTGAGTGTAGACTCAGTGACCCGGCGCTCAGAGCGCCATATTTCAGGGGGCCACAACAAACGACAAATATTTCTTGATTATATCAACTTGTACAATCATCGTCATGCATCTTCGATCCTAAATAATGGAGACAGCAAAACTCTTACAAAAAACGACAAATATTGATTGATTATATCAACTCTTTATTTTGGCAATCATCGTCATGCATCTTCAATCCTCAATAACGGAGGTAGCAAAACTCCCTTTTCCCTTTTTACCAATATGCAGTTGCAAATCGAATTCGAGGCCATATTTCGAAGCAATTCAAACATCTTTACACCTTCAGCAGCTAAGCACAGCATTGGTAGTTACATTGTATCAAAAAGATGCAAGAAAAATTATCGTAAGTAATAATCAAAGACTACTTGTAAGCCCCGCTGAGCTGCAAATTATTGCAGATTGCAAACTGCAACTTATTGAAAATAATTATTCTTTAAGACGTATGTGATTGTTTGACCTCTACCGACAAACTCCTAGATACACGATCGAGCATATGTTTTTAATTCATTTACAAAGCGTTATTAGTAACGTTTCATCCAAACAACGGGCTTTTGACTTCCTTAGCACGGATATATTCAATGGCTAAACCAGGAATTGTTAGGGAGAATGCATTTTTGTTTGTTGATTTATAGTTGTAGCGTATTCAACTGAATTATGCTGTAGACTTTCATTGAGATGTTTCATTACGATAGAAAATCAGTGAAGATCATATTTGTGAATATGTGTCATCGGCGCCTGAAGCCTCTCTTTCCCGTAGGTGCGTTACTGGATAAATTTACTTGTAATTTTTTAATTGTTAGAGTGTACATTTATTTACATTTCAAAATTAGTATAATTATTTAGAGTAGGTCAAGTGTGTTATAATTATAGTATTAGAAAAAAAGACGACAGTTTCACTTTCACATCGCGTTTACTTAGACACTGGTGACCACTCCGACACCAGGACAATTGTTTTTTTCATTAAAAAAACCTATAAAACCAAAATAATTTTTCCGGCTTAGAGGACATAAAACTAGCACAAAATTCTGGTTATATGAAGTTTTTGCTGAGGCGTCTTTGTTAGCTTATCATCAAGACAGCAAAGTCACATGGTTTAACACAACGTTAGAACATGATTGGATATTGTAATATTTGGATATTTCAAAACGACAAAATTCTAGTCCATTTATTTATAGTAAATCGTAAATGCTGAATGTAATATTTGGAGAAGAAGTATAATCTCTGCACATTATAAAAAATAATTGTGAAAAAGTTCTTGTTGAAATAGCTCGGACAACTTATTGGATATGAGGAATTAAACATGAGTCAACCTTCACATAAAACTAAAAAGAAGTTATCCAAAAACACAGACTACGAAAGTGCAATATTAAAGAACAATCATTGATGAAACTAAGGAAGTGACTGAAATTTTAAAATTTGAAGAAGGAATAATGATCCTGGATGCTATTTCAAAAGGTAAAATTGTTGCCGTTAACGATATCACACTTCTACAATAAAATATTCAATGAAACAGTTTTTAAAATGTTAATGCTATAAGCAGGACGGCCATTTACATGAAATAAAGACGGAAACATTTACATACATGCGTAGCCCAATTAATAATTACAGTCACTATTAATTATTTTATTTAATAGTATTATGAAATTAGCGTTGCAGGGCAAAAAATATCACGTGGCCTACACTAGGAAGTTGTCTCACCCACCTGAGCCACTTGGTTAGTGAAAGGAGTGTGATACCGTAAAAATGGAATATTAGAATTAGTTTGGGGTTAAAAATACTGCTTTCACCACATAAAGAGCCCCGATTGAATCGAAATTTTTCATGATGAACACCACTCGGCAATAATAGAACAATGATTCATTGAAATTCATTGGTGGCATTACCAAAATTTCAAGTACTAAAAAACTTCCATATTTCAGTTCTTCTAAGAAAGTAAAAAGATGGATGTTTACGCCAGGCTGCGTAATGCACACTTAAAATGAAATCCACCAAATTAACTCAAGAGTCTATAGACAGTCCTTTATTTATGTATACATCTGTAAATAGCTGGATAAATCTCCATGTGAATACAGGAAATAACATATCTTGGATCTTCTTTTTTGTATCAAAACAAATCAGTATGGAATTTTTATTTGTGTTGTATTGAAGATTTTACTTGTGTTATGCTAGTTTGAAAAGTTTATTCGATTTGATTAAAATGATAGCCACTAAGTTGTGAAAGATCATCTAATCTTTGACCTGGAATAAAGATAATACATTATTATACATGTTCTATTGCATGTCAAAACAACTTTTCAAGATTAGGAATTTGATCCGAGACTTGATTAGCCACTGAACCAACATAGAGCAGTCATGTTAAGAGTCTAGCATATTTCTTACCTGGAACAGTAGCCATGAACAGAGCAATCCATCCTGTTCCAGCATTATGCAAACTCGTTGTGTAACGTAAAATGAGTTTGTTGCTGGCACTTACGAACATAGCCGGATTATCCTTAAAATAAAATAAAATATTGTAGTTATTAATAACACATTTGGTAGGAACTTCTTTAAGAATTGAACCTCGCTTTTTTAGAACACTGGGTCTTAGACAAGAGGTGCTAAAATTTTATTCATTCACGATCCATTTTGATGTTATATCAAGGTGGTTACATAATAGAGATTAGACAGAATATTGATTGGATTCATTAATTTATTGTTTCCATGCACGTGAACTGCTAAGGTTATTAGTCACGTTAGTGAAGTCGGGAAATTCTTTCTAAAGCACTCAAAACATACTAATGATTTGAAAAACATTAAAATTACATTATTTAAAGACCGAAGTTTTCAAAACAGATTTTAATTACGAAAATGGTGTCCAAATATTTTGATCAAACAGTTGGACAGGGACAAACAGATAGAGTCCGACAAATACGGACAGCGAGATAGAGGTAGAGACAGATAGATAGAAAGAGATAGAGAAATAAAAAAGATAGAGATAGAGCGATTGAGAGAAGATAGAGATAGATAGGATACAGAGAGAGGATGGAGAGAGAGAGGATAGAGGGAATAGAGGGAGAGAGAGAAATAGAGATAGAGGGAGCGACAGAGACAGACAGCTAGATATAGACGGAAAGTGACAGTCAAAGCAAAAATATGGTCCGACTGGCAGTCGGACAGCCCTGGAACATCTAGAGACAAACGTATTGAGGGACAGATATACCAGCCGACCAGGCAGAGGGACGGAAAGGCATTCGCTAGACGGATGGATGGGCAGACGGACGGACGGACGGACTGACGGACGGACTGATGGGCGGATAAACATATCGGTAAGGGGACAGTCGAACAGACAGACAGACAGACAGAGCGGGAAGACAGAGATTTGGAAAACAATCCTCTTTCAGTTTTATGGATCTACAAAAAGTGAGTTTTTGTCTTAAGAGTCCAGTCTGCAGCTTTCATGTCTATTTCACATATAAGAGAAAGTAAAAAGATACTTACATCACCGCAGTATCGAGTTTGAGCTCCTTCTTCGTTCGCTGGCATTTCTACGCTTATCAACTCTACATAGTCAGTTTCACAGGTAGATCTTGGCCCTATCTGAAATTCTAAAAGAACATCCGAATAAATGTCAGCCTAATCTTGGAAGTTCAAAAATCATAAATAATTTATAAAATAATTCTACACACAATGTGAAGAACTATCTGGAACTGAGCACACAAACAAAATACAAATTCTGGGATGAGAATCAATAATTATGATTGAACAACTTAATTTTTGTGTCACGTAGACCCACGTAAAAGAAACTCGAAAGAAGCCTTGTTTGTTAGATTGTACCTAAGAAATAATTCACAGGCAGCCGTCAAAAGCCTATTTTAAAAGTCTATGATACACCATTTACCAGTTATGCGCGACAGAACTTTCTATATATATTTATATAAAAATGAATGCATTTAGGTAAAATAATATAATTAAAGGAATGCAAATTCAGTATCAAAATATCTAGATGCGATTAGAAAACGCCGTTGGTTGGAAATGTAGAGAAGTTGGCGAAGGTGCAGATGGGTGGCAAGACACTCACTGTAGCACGACACTCGCTAATAACACTGAAAATTAAGCTATAACTACTCATATTTAAAATAAATAGATGACACTATTTAAATATCTAGTTTTTAAAACAGATTTCACTATGAAAAATAAATGTTCAATAATGTAGAAGGGGGCTCACAAATGATTTCGAAAGTTTAGATGTTTTAATGGAAGTACGACCTACTTCATTTTTATCAATGCACCCTATCTCTGCAAAAAATATTTGAAGTCACTTTTGAGAAAATTTAAAAAAAATCTCGTGGGGGCTTCATATAACTCCAAAAATTAATTCATCAGTTTCAAACTCTAGGTACTACGACATCAGCTAGATGGTTTGGGGAATATCAAAGTGAACATGCTGTGTAGGTTTAGAAGTTCTTAACAGATATACAGACAGATGGATTGCCGAAAACCTCTTTGACGGTATCAATGACCCACAAATCGTTATTTCTGCCTACAGAACGTATTAGAAAAAGCAACTTACTATAAGTAGCAGAAAGAAAACTAAAAGACATTCGTTTGTGGATTTCTAATAGTTGTTCTCTCTTGGTTTCGGAAACATAGGATAGTTCAGAAAGATATTCTCTCGCGGAGACCAATACCTTTCAAGTATTTGTCAAATTACAAGAAACGAAACAATTTAATATCGCAACATTCGTCACGAGCCGTCGTTGTTAGTTACCAACTGCTAGGAATAGTTTTCATACGTCGCAAATTCATTAGCGCGTATTAGCGATTTAGTGAATAAGCAGGAAACCGAACAAAATGCAATTTGCGTGAACTTTTTCCATCCAGATCGCAATGATCGTCGTATGCGAACTCATCAATTATGCTTTCTGAGATGCAAATGACCCGAGTCTTTAGAGGAGGTGGGTACGGAGAGCACTGTCCCGGCGCCCGCGCCCGCACCTGAGTTCGCTGTCGACTACATCTTTCCGCGTCTACCGCTCTGACGACCCGAGGAAGCAGAGCCGGGGGTCCCAAGCACAAAATCGTGTTGCCCTCCCCCTCCCAAAAAGGTACAATGTATTACAGATTCCCCTCCCCAAAATAAGACTAACTGCAATATAATTTTGTATGTGTAATTGTAGTAAATTTTTTGTTTTAACAGAAATGAAAATTAACCATTCGTGATTCAGTAGAGCTGGCCTGCACAATGATTCCGCGGGCATTCTGCACTCAGAGCCGGACGTGTGTCCTTAAGAGCGGCGAAGGTCCAAGTACTAGGGGCGGGAGAAAGGCAGCATTACGCGGAGTGGGCCTGTCATTACTCAGTGGGGACGATGCGCCGCGTAGATTGGATGTCTGTGCGTCAAATGCAATGATACATGCTGTGAAGTTATTTTCTCACTTATTTAAGAGGGTTATGACTCGTATTTTTAGCTACAATGGCCAAAATTAACTGTTTACGTTCTTCAGTGCACTGCTAGGTGTACACCTCTGGATCCGCCATTGTATTCACACGGGCGGAAAGAAGTATTGCAACACTCCGATTGCATTGTACAATTTATTTCTCCAAACAGCCCATACATACGGAATGATTCACATGAATACATGGGCAGAGCCATGTGAGACTCGCACATCCAGGAACAGAGAGAACTATGGACCGGAAACGCCGTATCACTACTGCGTGTACCCACCGCGGGAAGTACGACAAGCCCTCATGCGGGCTGACATCCCATCGTACAGGTGGCGAATAGTGTCCTGTGGCACACTGTTCCACGCCTCCTGCACCGCCTCACGCAGAGCAGGCTGAATTGTTAGTGGAGTCGCTGGACGGGTCAGTTGTTGGCCCATCTTGTCCCAAACATTCGCGATCGGGGACAAATACGGCGAACATGCCGGCCAGGACGGTTGACGAACAACGCGCAGCGCGAGCAGTGCGAGGGCGGCCGTTGTTCTGCCGGAACAGCGCACCACCGTCCCGTTGCAAGAAAGGTATCAGCACAGGCCGCACAACGTGCTGGATGTATCCAGCGCCGGTAAATGATCCCTCCACAAACACCAAAGACGAATGCGCGTTGTAGCTGATGGCACCCCACAACATCACACCGGGGGTGGGCCCTACGTGACGTGGACGAACACACACCGGACGCACGCGCTCGCCTATGCGACGCCACACACGATCACGATCATCTCTAGCGTGCAGACAGAAGCGGCTCTTATCATTAACACCACTGCACCCCATTCCATGTCCCAGCTTACACGTACATTGCACCATGCCAACGATGCTTCGGCGTGTGTGGCAACCGGGCTGCGCTATGCGCAATTATAATCCTGCAGCAAGAAATTGTTTCACGACGGTGCGTGAAGACACGTTGGGGGCCACATGTGCCTGCTTCTCGGCGCTGGTGGTCGTACGGTCTGCCAATGTCGCCCTCACGATGCGTCGATCTTTAAGTTCATTAGTGCTCCAAAGTCCGAAAGGATCACCCAACTTCGCGCAGGTCGACAATCTGATCCCGCTCAAAATGGTCTAATTACTTAAAGGACGAACGAGAGCGACGCCGTGGCATATCTAAGTCCCAGCTAGACCTTATAGCAGTGGACAGAGCCTTTTAAATCCGCCGAGTAGATGGCGCGTCCGGGACATTCCGCTATTATGTCATCAAGTCTCAGTCATCCGTGAAATATTAATCACGGCTTCTACGACCCCCTATCCTTAACGCCCCTTATCGCCTTCTCGATTGCTTATTTTTTTAGTTCATGCTCGTTGTGACTCTTAAGCAGTCTTTTAAAGCAGTGAAAAGTTTTAAAAATCTATGATTTAATTCTATCTAACAAACGTTTACAATTTAATAACTGATTTTTCACCAGGAATGTTATAATTTTCAAATGATTGTAAAACGAAGAAAATTATGACAGCAATCACTTACATCACGAATGACATAAAATGGAATATAGACATTTCCAATATGGATAATATTTAACAGCACATATATTTGTGACCATTTTTTACCCATTATGAATCTGAATAAAAGACACCAGCGAGCAAACCTTTCTGACGATATGTTACAGGCAAACATAGGGTTATTATGAGTCTTGTTAAATATAATGCAAAGGGCTTAATAGTTTTACACGATATCGTAAACTAATATGAATAAATTCGTTCATTTGATATTAGAAAAGTGTAATGAGCTTTTGTGGGAAATTAGAGAAGAAAGTAATAATATTTTAAAAATAATATATTTTCGCTTTGATAGAACCGTCTTATTCATTTAACATAGTTAATGAAAACATAGCATATTACTGTCATCATTAACCAAAACAATCCAATATTACAATTTTTGTGTTTAGCACCACACCAAATTTGTGGTTACAACGTACAAAAATAATAACTCATCTCTATAAGCAATTATAATAATGAAATATGTATGTCTAATTCGCTTTAATTTCGTATTTCACACTGTCGTACAAGTAGATCGTAACGGCACATCCGTGAACAACGAGTTGGATCAGCGCCACAGCAATACAGAGCGCATCTCAGTCATCGCATATTTCGGCGCGGGGCGCGGGCTTTCGGTGCGGTCCCTGGCCAGCGTTGGCGCGTTTGTGGGTCAGGGGAGCTCCCTTTCCCGTCATAATAGAGCACGGGCTCATTTTATGACTACCAAAGGGGGAGCGCGCATTTCCACTTGTTTTTTTATAATATTTTATTTTGCAATTTGTTTAGGTATAAACATGTGGCAAAATTACATACAATGTTAATAACATGAGAGGAGTCAGGTCCATTGACCGTACTCCTAATATCACATTTTTTTCAGATTAACAACAATTTATAGTCGATATGTCAGGTCTAAAGTATGATATCGTTTAAGTCGTCTAGTGGTGTCACTATTAGGGAGTTTTAGCGCCACGCGTAAGGTAGCGGCGTTATGCACTAACAGTCACGTGACAGACCTTGAAGTCATAACGTCTTACCTTAGGCCTAAGGTACGACCTTATACCTTCATAAATAGTGCACGCCTGTGGGCGTCTCTACGGTCACCTTACAAGCGGCAAAATGGCCGCCGAAAAACAGGAAAAGTGTTTTTCCAACTCTAATAAACCATTTCTCGTATGTAAGGTAGTTACAACTATTCCTTACGCACTTCACAAAGCTGGCAAAAATTAACGGGATATGTAGGAGAGGTGACAGGAAAGATATTCGCGAAAAAAAAGTTCAAATCATATCTTCGGGATAGGTTATGTCTTAAGCTCATAACGAACGCTGTTTTAAGGTACTTCCTATATTTTCAAGAAAAGCAGATTCAAAATCTAAATCTCCATGCACAATGTGTATTTGCTGGTCTGTTGACTCGTAACGTGTTTTAAATGTCTCACCACTAGCCTACACTCTTTGATAAATAATGCAATTTCTCTGTTCTACGCTTGAAATGCTTCCTTTGTTATAATGCATAACGCAATGTCGCAATTGCTAAAACTCTTATGAACGTTGTTCATTACGACCTTAAGAAGGCGTTAGTCACGTGATCAATAGAGTTTAAAAATATCTCCTTACGCCTGGCGTTAAAAATCCCTATTGTCTAGTAAGTTAATGGCAAGAATATTTTGATGGTTATGTAGTCGTATTTTGCGCTGGTCTTGTTAATTTCTCCTTTTATTGCTGTCATTTGTAAGTCTCGGTGTATTGTGGTGTTTGATACGTACCAAGGGGTATTTACAAATTTTCTTAAGCATTTAGATTGGAAACGTTGTAATATATCAATATTTGAATTTTGAGCTGCTCCCCAAAATTGTATTCCATATGCCCAGACTGGTTTTAGTAATGCTTTATACAGAAGAAGTTTGTTTGCGATGCTTAAGGATGAGTTTTTTCCAAATAGCCAGTTTAATCTGATAATTTTGAGGTCTAATTATTTTATTTTATTCTTTACATGTGTTTTCCATGTAAGGCTTCGGTCCAGTGTAATTCCAAGATATTTTGCTGAGTCATTTTGAGGAATAGGTTGTGATTCGATTTTTATAGGAGGGCATCTCTACTGGTGGGCTGCACCTCCTCCCGACAATGACTGCGTGCGATAGCAAAGACAGGCAGATAGTCTTTTTTTACAAGATGACCCTGTAAATGGCAGGCCGTGAGGAATCTAGGCGTCGGACGCTGCCCAAAAAGTTCTTAAGCAAACGAAGATGTCCCGCAAGGGATGCCGCGAAGCAGGCAGGTGATAATATCGACCAGAAACATTCCCAATATAATACAAAATACAATATTACTTGAACTGATTGTATAGTTCATGTTCTCGCAGATTTCTCTTCTAATTTACTCTCTTCGGCTTGAATTGTTCATTCTCATTGGTGGTTCATACTCCTAGAACGAGTCTCATCCTCACATCTCGCTGACGGCATTTGCATTCGAGTGGCTGGCGCACGGCTCCCGAAGTCAGTGAAAGTGCAAAAATTCGATTCAATCCTAAATGAGAGTATTTGATTAACAATTATTTTACTGAAAAATCATACTTTATGCCATTTTTATTATATTTTGTTATTTTTTTCAGCTTATTTTGCTGATATGTAAATCCAACACAGCGGTAGTATGTGAATGGGGGGGAGGGACGGAACTCAGAAATAGTAGACGACTGTGAGTTCATTTGCCAAACATATTATGCGGAAATATATAAGAAAAGACGCGCTGCAGTCTGAAGTACTTTTATAACTAGAAAAAATTAAAGAAACTTAGAAAACGGTCGTGCTTTGGCCATAGTAATTTTCGTGTGTATTGAATGTTGTTATTTGTTTGGGCACTTACATTAAACGTATTTGTGTAAAGTTAAAATGAGTGTCTGAGTTATGTCTGACATTGGTCCAACCAATAGTTTATAATAGCACCTTTGACAAGTCTATTTTTCTACTTACACCACATTTGTAAAGACTCCTGGGATATAGTAAACAACAAAGAATTCGTTCAAAGCGGAAACATAGAGAACATTCGATAAAATTTTACCTTGAAATTGTAGAGCAGCCAAATTTCCAACAGGAACAACTATGGTCCATTCACAGACAGATGCATTTCTATAATTTGAAGGGTATAGAGGACTAGTGAAAATTCCTCCATAATTGAAAATAGTGCCTCCACATCCCCGTCCTGGATGGAAGAAAATAAAATGTATTAGACCATACTCTCATTCAACATCAACTATTTATTCCACCATTACCACCATTATGTTACAATGACATTACAATTAGCTTAAGAAAAAGGGGCAAAAGAAATTTGAAAATCAATAAACATTTTATGATGTAAGCAAATTATACATAGATGTGACATTATACGTTAAATTAAAATATAGATTTAACATCCGTTGGAATCCATGTAATCATAAAGTCAACTACCTCCAAATATGTAATTCAGAAATTCAAAAGTTGTTTGATAATCGTCTAAGGTAAAGCCGATATTGCATATATCGACTTGTTCAAAGCTTATATAAGACATTTGCCTAAAAGCTTTATATAAGACATTTGAAGAACATGTTCTCATAAATGCAATAATGATTACAAAACGCCAATAATGTAAATATTAACGATGTGAGAGAAATTGAAAAAAATCAATTGCAAAGTTATTTACAAGAGCAAATGGAGTTTCAGTACGTTTAGCATTTCATAAATCGAAAGTTAAAAGAAAAAATGATAGAGTCGTTTTCGAGAAATTCTTGTTTTTGTGATATTTTAATATTGCACATTTTTCACTCAGTACTGCGCGAAAACTATAATTTTCAAGAAAACGGACCTGGCTTTAATGAACTAATTACTAAGAACAATTTTCAATTGAAGAAAAAATCTCTATCTTCAATTTTGTAGTTGAAGGAAGTCGCTAAAAAATTTGAAACTTTTGAAATTTTTGAAAATTTAGAGATAATAACGAAAATAGAATATATGCCATCTTTATACGTGTATTTCACTCTATTAGTACAAGAAATGTAGCTTGCGCTAGCGCTTAAATTGTTCAGCCGATTTTCTCCAAAATTTATATTCTCCGATGGATCTGACCCAAACCAAGGCTCCGGGAGTTTCCAACGGATATTTTGATTTTTGAGGGTACTTTACATTAAATTTGAAACATTTTCAATTTTTAAAAAAATGGCACAATGTTTGATTAAACTTCATCCTCGGATAGCATAAAGGGTGCTTAATGAAATGGGGGAGGTGTCATTTTCGTTGAAATCCCACATTTTTCGAAAATTTCAAATGTGCAATTGTGTGTGCAAATGTGCAATGCCTTTCTACAACTACAATATTAAAGATAGATATTTTCTAGAACTAAATCTATTCCTTAAAGACATCTCCAAACAAGTTAATGTTCAGTTTTTCAAAAATATAAGTACTTTATCAAAAACCTCTCCAATTTTTGTCTTTGAAGTTTCTCCTCAGATGCATCAAAGTCCCATATTAGTCCCATTTTCGACGAACTCTCCGTATGTCCTAAATATTGGGTTTGGACAATTTTTAGGAGGCGGCCCGAGTTCGCGCCACAAGGCGCTTCTGAAGAGTAGTGGTATGGCTGCCAGCGAGTCAACTCCGAGAACCTGAGCTGTAGCCTCCGTGCGGAAAATAATTTTTGCTGGTTGAAACACTTTTGCTTGTTTATGTAATAGCATACAGTGAAGTACTTAGAAATTATGTGCTTCTGTACCACCTCTAGTTTTAGTTCTCAATATGTATACAGGTTGTATTCTCTCTCATATCTGTCTTTAGTTTTCGTGGCTTTGTCACCGTCTTATAATATTTTATCCGAAATATGTTCAATATCTGCCATTTGCAAACATTTCTTTATCCTTTATCAGCATGGTGATTATAAGTACACAATGCAAGGCCCAAAAAGTAGGTCTTTTCAGAAACAATGCAACGCCATCAAATGGTAAAGATGTGCATCCATTTCTCAAAATTTGAGTTATTCTTCAATGGAGCGAAAACAAATAAACGTAATATGTGGATAAAGGGGTATAATATGCATTCGTGGTAATGACAAAATTGCTCGCTCCTATCGTCGCTAATTTTCTTGACCATACCACTCAGACAGTTATACCCTATATCGTTAATTACTATAATTCACTGTCTTTTTTGCAACAAATACATTAAAATATGTTGGAATATCTGTTAATTTTGATTTTTACGAGTATTGTGGTATTTCATGTATTACCTTGAGTTGTTGTGGTGTATGTAGCATCTATATGAAAATGATTGCTTGATGTTTCTAATCTTAAGATGTTGCCAGTCGAAAACACTGGATTGGGAACTGTGGTGGAACAAACTCTTGCAAGTCTGGGAGAATCAGCAGATCCTCCATCTCGAACCTGCATATAATTTAAATTAAATTATAAACAAATGATACAGTATATATGCAGTACATAAAATATATCTTGGAGAAGGGCAGAAAAGAAAGTCCTTTGAACAAAATTAAGCTTTTTACCTCCAGTCCACCAGTTTCACAGTTATCGGTTATAGATTCTTTGAAGTATAATGAAATTGTGGCATTTTGATCTGCTTCAATTAACATTACACATCTATTGGTAACTGGTCCAGTAATGAGAACACGTCCTTGAGGAGAAGTATAGTTCCTATTGCAACCTTGATAAGAAAGAAAGCAATAACTTAAAGATTATGAATGTTACACTGTGAAATGTTCAATTCATTTATAAAATGCAAATGTCTTTGATAATTGAATTTTTCCACAAAGGAAAATTTTACATTCTAACAATAGTTTATAACACGCAAATTTATTTTAATATTACCTGCCAAAGAATATGATAAATTAAAACCTCTCGACGCTATTTCATTAGATACAAATGTTACAGATACCATTCCAGTTAATGAATAAAAATTGAAATTTCTGACATCTCCACAAAGTGAATAAGAAGAAACTGGTATCATTGAGGCCTGAAAAATAAATTTATTATTGGCAATAAGAATTTAAGACACCATTCCCAAATATAAGTAGATAAATGTTTGAAGCATATTATATTTAATATTATTTGATTATCTTTGGAGCAATGAGTAACAAAAATAATTTCATTAGAGAGAAAATGTGTACTTCAACTTTATAGAGCAAAATCTTGAACCCAGCGTTATTATTTACGAAATCAATTTTGATATTTATATGTTATATTTATGTAGTTGACACTAGAATAATTTTCTAGACTGACGATTGAATTAAAACTTTAGCATTAATTAAGTAATATACTTACGTATCCAAAATGCGATGGTCTCCTACTTTGTGACTGTCCATACACTACAACTGTATCTCCTTGTTCAGTTGTTACAACATCATTGGCCTAAAAACAAAATTGTATGTTAAAAATACTCCATATAAATAATAATAACGATAATAATAATAATAATAATAGTAATAATAATAATAACGATAATAATAATAATAATAATAATAGTAATAATAATAATAATAATAATAATAATAATAATAGAAATCTGTATGGTTCATTACAGTTTCGTCCGTAATTTGTAATCTTGAATTAGTACAATCTGCATCCCCAGTTATATTTAAATCTTCAATGTGGATTGCTATTCGGTAATATTTTCTAGGAGCATTTAATATCCATCGACAGCGGGTACTTGGTGAATAGTTGTTTGGATAATTTTGAGATGTAAGAAATTTCACTGTTGATGATACATTGAGAAGAGGTTCTGAACACACACCTGCAGAGAGAAATAGTTATTGTTAATATAAATGCAAGAGAAATAGTTAATATACAGGATGAGTCGTGTAACTTTCACACCTCCCGCCATTTTTGAACGGCTGAAATTATTGCAAATGCTGTTTTACAGACGTGCATGAGGAAATGTGACTAGTTTATACACGTATTCATTTTCATTTTCATTTTATTACTTATATTTTAAGAGATATTGAGGTAACTTTATTTTTCAAATGGAATTATACGTATTTTTAGTCAGTCATGACGAGCGTAAAAAAGACGAATTCAATGATATTCATATTATCATATGTTAAATACGCATTTTTGAGTAATTTTGGTTGTTTGCGATTCGTGTTGAATGGATATTGTAATGGATCCGAGCGTGCGTTAGCAGGGAGAGCGCTGCGTGCGTGTGGTGGACTGTTACATTCAAAATATCCGTTTAATAGAGACGAAAAAAATCAATATTTCTCAAAAAAATACTTAACATATTTCCAATATGTACACCATCATGATAGGCTGTGTTTTACTCGCATCATGATAGACTAAAATAATCCCATTAAAAAAACAAAGTTACCTCAACATTTCATAAAATATAAGTGAATAAATGAAAAACAAATACATCAATTAGCCCCATTCCCTCATGCACTTCCGTGAAAATTGCATTGCAATATCTTCAACCATTCAAAAATTACAAGGAATGCTAAAGTTATGTGACTCACCTGTATAATACACACATGCGTATACACCCACATATACACTTACATACAGTTTATCAATTGTTTACAGACCAAGAATATCAAAAACATTGCTGTTCAAAATGCAAAAAATGGGTTTATTCGAAATGAATAGCCAATATTTAAAGGCGATCGGCCTCTTCCTTGGAGCCTTCATGTTGCATGACACCAGCTGTGTCTTAATCAGCGACACACTGAGAAGATACGAGCATGGGTGGAATAACAATCAAACATTTGCATTTTCAGTCACAATGGATTTTGATGAATTGTTTTTGGATTTTTTCTCTCTCAATTTTCTGCGTATCTAAGGACTCCTCTCGCATGGCTAGACTGCATAGTTTCCTTTCAATTTCTGTGCGCATTGGAAAGGAGTAAAGGATTATGGCGGCGATGGTGTAACGGTTGGCGTACTGGACTGTTGTACCCAAGTTGGCGGGTTCAAACCCGATCGAAGCCGTGGATTTTTAAGGGCGAAAAAATCCTTCGTACGCCTTCCTTCGGAGAGGAAGTGAAGCCGGTTGTCCCATGTTCGTAGATTTACTTGCATGTAAAAAAATCCTCAAGCCTAAATGACGCCTCTGAGCTAAATTCAAATCGCCTGTTTCTCGCCCAAGAAATACCTCCTTTCTCTCCTAGTTGGTGAAAGGAGCGTAACGAAATTGCGTGGTCAGACGGAAGAGCGGGCCTAATGGCCTGAGTCTCCCCACGTAAAATAAGGCAAATTCAATTCAATTATTTCCCCGATGTCTGCGTGGCAGGTCGTCGCCAGGCAGTGGGGCTGCGCGTGTGCCGAAGATGAAGCGCAGCGAGGATTGAGTGGGGGCTCTGCCCGTCATTGAATTGAATTAAATTAATGCCTTATTTTACGTGGCGAGACTCGGGCCATCAGGCCCGCTCTTCCGTCTGACCACGCAAATTTCGCTACGCTCCTTTCATCCACTAGCAGAGAAAAGAGGTATTTCTTGGGGCGAGAAAGAGGCGATTTGTATTTAGCTCAGAGGCGTCATTTAGGCTTGAGGATAGTTTACTTGCAAGTAAATCTACTAACATGGGACAGCCGGCTTTATTTCTCCGAAGGAAAGCGTACGAAGGATTTTTTGGCCCTTAAAAATCCACGGCTTCGGTTTGAACCCGCGAACTTGGGTACAACAGTCAGGTACGCTAACCGTTACACCGCCATGATGACGCAGGTTATGTTCCGCAAGAGTGGCGGCCACGAAATAAAAGGAAAATATATTCCCAATGGAAATATTCCATGGAATGTGATGCGAACAATATATTGCAACTGATTCCAATAAAATGAGTTTATTCGAACTACAAAACAACGTGAATATTCAAGTTATCCGCACCAATCTAAAAGTTGCATAACAGCATAGCACATAATTTCCTTTTACATATTTGAGCTGTTTATTTAAGAAGTAGCATACGTTTCCCAACTAGCCACCAAAATACTAAATTTAAGTATCTATCCCAGCAAAACATTTAAAGAACAAAAATGAAGCCTATCTAGAGCGATCGGGGTCAGTCCCATGGCCTCTTGAGACGTAATAGCCAGGAGGCATGCAAAAGTGCAATTTCTGCGAGAAGCAAGAACTGCCAGTCGTCGACAGACAGACAAGCCCGACATAAAGTAAAGTTCCATATGCAATTCTTCGGCTCATCCGAAATATTTCACACCGCATTCTACACGACATGCGAACAATGTACACAGCTCCCAGCGCTCTACGGAAATTTGCCAACAAACCCCCACGCCGAGTGCGAGGCCCCTCAGTAGCAATGGCCCCCGCCCCCCCGTACGGGCTTCCACTGCGGAGCGAAGCGGCGAGAGCTCGCACTTTCTGAAGGTATGGCATGGCGTGGCGTGGCGTGGCGTGGCGTTGCGTTGCGTTGCGTGGCGTGGCGTGGCGTGGCGTGGCGCGGCGTGGCGGGGCGTGGCGTGGCGGGGCGTGGCGGGGCGTGGCGGGGCGTAGCGGGGCGGGGCGTGGCGAGCATGTACTAAGCATATGCATAGACAGTAGAAGTTGTCGAAATGGATGGAGAATTAATATAATTCCTTTTACTGCCTAATAGATGATTGTGAATGAATGAATACCAACAGTTCAGTTTGATGTTAACAGATTAAAATATTCCTTCAATGAAAATTGAATATTTTATTTCACTTCCTTTTTGCACTAACCATGTAAAGAAAGTGCAGTTATTGGTGTTAGTTTTAAACACCTTCATGCAAATCCTTGTGTAAGCCATGCGCGACAATTATCCAACAGATTATTATAAATGATTGAATAATGTCGGATTTATTAAACCCAAATCATAATATAAAATCGTCGGAAATTATCTAAGAAAGAGTGTGCTATTGTAGAAAAAGTAGTTTCCATTTTAGTAATTTCCATTTAGCACCACAGAATGGTGCATTCATCGATAATTTTTTTCATAAAATAAAACTTTGAAGGAACCACCAAACAAGAAAATAAAATAAAGATTGTTTCTTACGAGGTTGAGCCATTGCATCAATGTAGAACCCTGTATCTTCTTGGTATGAGTCTGTTACAAATCGAACCCAAAGTTGAGAAGAAGTAGACATGATAGGTCTGTACAGTCGATCTCCACAGTATACTCCTATTAATTCATCATATTGAGTTCCACCATCACGAATCTGTGGGAATTAAGAGCAGAATGAATATTCCAGGCGCAGAAATATTTACTAGTACACAATAGATATATGTTAAGTCCGCGCACGTTTTCTTAAGTTAATATTTTGCCAGATGCGCGAGGAGTGCTGATTTTTGTTATTACATTCGGAGTATTATGAAATAAATATGTCATTCATGTGCCAATACATATAGTTTTGGTTCATGGCAGCCAAAGTTTATTATTATCAAATATTACCAACAACGCTCGTAACTTCTTTACATAATTAGAATGGCAAAGAAAAGATATAGAGATTTCAGATCTCAAGAAAACGTGCGCCGATAGTCAAATTATGTCTAATTACTATGCTCTAGAAAACAAATAAAAATAAATAGAAACTGAATACATCATCTCTCATTTCGTCACTCAATATTTCACTCATGTCAGTTGTGAATGTTCTGTATGTAAGGGCAGATAAAACAGAAAATACCATTAAGTTATCGTTAATTGTTTACATTTACAAAAGAATATCTGAAAAAAAATACAGATCATATACTGCCATTGAAAATATTTAACTTTATCTAATCCCCTCTATATAACCTAGTTTTCATGGTTATGCTAACAAAAGGTAACAGTTTTGTAGAAGTTATAAGAAACCGTCGCACAATGGTCCTGCTGCTGATGACCCCTCCCCAGTCCTTATTAAAGAGATTTAAGAGAAAAAGAAAAGTTTGTAGGTTGTGACTTCGATGGTAAACCAGGCGCACATATAACCCGCCACACACACTCCGCTACAATATGCTTTGCCAAACGACCAAACCAAAACGAAACGGAAACAGTTTTTACTGTTTTGTGACTATATAAATATAATCTAATCTAAACACAAACAGCTTCTGCAATTGTGCCATAGGGATTTTGAGACTGTAGAGTGAAATTTCCTTCCTCTAGAACCGAAAATAAGTATGCTTTAAATGCGAGAAAACTGTACTCGATAGAGAAAAACTAAGAACAGTTGTGAAATCAGGATACGTAAATGATTCAAGAACACGTATTAAATTTCAGTCATTCGATATCATTACTATTATTAATAGGTTCCAGGGGCGGGTCCAGAGACAAATTTGGGAAAGGGAAATTAAAAATGTCTTGGTCGAATGTATCATTACAGATTTTGTAAAATATCGCAAGCTACATTCAACTCATGCTACTAAACTATTTCATTGGTTTTAATGATTATCCGAAAATATTTCTGCTTAAAAGTTTCGTGACAAATTAAAATTAATTGTTACGATGAAGTTATTAATAACTTAGAAAAACTTTAGGGGGGAGGGATTTCTCTAATTTCCCTCCCCGTGGATCCTGCCTGCCTTAACAAATAGTCAAGTGATACACTTCGTCAAGCACGGGTTTGAGTTAGGTGTGCCCATGAAAGAGGACACTGAGGCAGTAGGTTCGAAACCCGCCTAAGGTTATAATATTTTAAGTTTTCTTTCTGAAATGGACGTATTCTCAGTCCATCATGTATGAATTCAAACTTCTAATGTCTAATCCTTCCGTAAATTATTCCCAGTCCTTCGTGTATGACATCAAAAAATCTAAAATCTAATCATTCCGTAATTCTATTAATGGCTCGCCCTAATTGATAAAATGGTGTGTGAGATTTCTTGTCAATCTGCCTGAAATTTAATGTAATGTCAGGTCAGTTGTATTAAGCACTAGGGTGTCAATATATAGCAGCTAGGAAGATCGAAGAGAAAAAATAAAAAAGCTTGCCTCAAGAGAGTAGGAAACTAATTCAAGAAAGTATGTGCCATTCTGTAGCTCCACAAGTTGTGTTTCTTACTACACTCTGTTATAAAAGAAAGCAAGGAAGGAAAGGAGATAACGAACAAGTGACAGTTCTTGCGAGTGAAAGGATGGTTAGTGAGAGAATGAGTGAGAGAATGAGAGTGAGAGAGAATGAGAGTGAGAGAGAATGAGAGTGAGAGAGAATGAGAGTGAGAGAGATATGAGAGTGGGAGAGAATGAGAGTGGAGAGCAGAATGAGAGGGGAGAAGAGATGAGAGTGGGAGAGAATGAGAGTGGGAGAGAATAGGAGTGGGAGAGATGAGAGTGAAGAGAGAATGAGAGTGAGAGAGAGAATGAGAGTGAGAGAGAGAATGAGAGTGAGAGAGAATAAGAGTGAGAGAGAGATAAGAGTCGAGAGAGAATGAGGAGAGAGAGAATGAGAGTGAGAGAGATGAGAGGAGAATGAGTTAGAGAGAATGAGAGTGAGAGAGAATGAGAGTAGTAAAAGTGAGTGAGAGTGAAAGTGGAAAGAAACCCACGCACCAAAAGGGGAAGAATGACACGAGGAGAAAATGATGGATAAGGGGAAAAAGAAATAGGCCAACACTTGTTGAAATACAAATTCGGAGTATATTTAAAATGAAAATAGACACAATAAACCACTGAACCTTAAACACACCTCAAATGTAGTCACAACCACATCATTTGTTGGCTGCAGTAGTGGCATTAACACGATTTCAAATGCTAGGTGATTAATCATGAGACGAATTATTTGATTTTGGAGGAGCTTCAAGACCCAGGGCAGTCCAGATTGGTTCGTAGCGACCATCATATTAACATCTGGTGAAATGAAATAGATTGCTACTTGGCTTGGTAAATTTCTCCTTCTACCACATCCAGTCGCTCTCTCCTAAAACCAACAAAATTGTTTGTTAATATATTATGGTACAGAGATCGATAAAACAATCAATCATATTCCTCTTCTTTGCCTTCCATGTGCATTTCTGATGTCACCGCACTTTTCACGAAAAATCCGATTTTGGATGAAATGGTATACGTTGGCACATCTTAATAAAAAACAACTTGTCCCGTTTAGCACTCATACAGGGGAACTAGTATTTCCATTTCACTGAGTTTTGGTTTGAAAAAGTAATGTTTGCAGTGTGCGAGAGGCAAAAAGAATTTGGCGCATGCAGCACCGCAAGTAAATAAAACACTCATACAAGAGAATGTAAGCATAACATGGGCGGCGACATAATCAGCCCTGGCTGCGAGACGCATACTGCGACGATCCTAAAACCGTACTTGTGCCTAAAACCGTGTCCTAAACCGTGGTTCCTAAACACTACGACTGTCCTAAAACCGCTACGATATTTAGTGGATTCGTACGTGAATAAGTACACCACTTAAGGGAAAGTAGTTTTGGAAATACACATTTTAAATTCCGGAATACGTTTCGTCACACATTTCATTCCTACGTCAAGGCTCCATTTTCTGTACTACGATGCGAAAATACTTTTTCATCTCAAAACTCAACCAATACTACTTTTTCAATATGAAATTAAGTTTAATGCATCTTCACTGCATTTAGAACTTGCGAAAGAGCTTCTCGAGCTGATTGGAGAGAATGGGGCATGGTTCCGGTTGATGCTGGCAGGGTTCGTGTGAGTGCAGGTCAGAGAAAGGAGAAACCTGGGCAGGGGGTTGCGGCGGTCGCAAGTTGGCAAGCGGACTAAGCAGAGTGGAGAGAAGCAGGGGGTCGCGCGATAGACAGTAAATAAATGACTTCCATTTTAGACTACAATCCTTACAGTCACTAATCAATTCTCCTCTTAATAAGTGTCTATGATAAGACATTATGATTATGTGTGTGTGTGTTTTACCCCTACGCTTTGAACCACCATAGCGATAGCTTTCGCAATTGGTACGACGTTTCTCGGGAAGTGTGAAAGAGCAAAAAAAATCCGGTTTAAAGCGTAAAAATGCCGTTACTGAAACGATTGCAAACACGCAATGCGTCGAGGCGGCATTGGCGGGCCGAGCCAGAAAGAGCGACTTGGAGGCGGCTTGGGAGTGTGGGGGGGCAGGCCAGGGAAGGGAACTAGTAGGGATGAGGAGTGGATAGAGCAGAGGGGCGGGGCACGCTGGCGGGGCGTGGCGTGGTCGTAGCGTGGCGTGGCGTGGCGTGGCGTGGCGTGGCGTTTGGCGTGGCGTGGCGGGGCGGGGCTTGGCGGGCGGGCGGACCGTGGGCGCGTGGTTGTGGCGGGCGGGCGCTGGGTAGGGTAGGGTAGGGGTAGGGCGGGGTGTGGGTAGTGAAGGGGAGTGGCGGGATGGCGGCGAGCAGGAGATGGGGCGGGCGAGCAGATGGGGCGGGCGGGCAGGTGGCGAAGGCGGGGCGTGGGCGGGGAGGGGCGGGGCGGTGGCAAGGACGAGATAACGTGCAGATCAACTGGGCAGAACAGGGCAGGCGAATGGCGGGGACGCGGGGCTGAACGGGCGTTGGGGCTGTTTATTGAATGACTGTGATAAATAGGGTGCGGATTTTGATGACAAAACATTGTCAAAAACGATAAATAACATGCTCTTAAAATGCCCTAAAACAAACAAAAAATTGATCAAAACCACTTCAGATGAAAACGACAAGCTGCTGGATATGTTACTTATGTAATCGAGGTTTCTTCCTTTTGTTCAAGTAAACTCAGCTAGCAGTCTGTGACTTTATTTTTCGCGCGAAAACGGCCAAACTGACAATGGCACCGATAGGCGTCACAAGAACCCTAGATTACATAGTACTCGCATCGACTGGCATTACAATATATGAGGGAAGAAATCGAAAATGCTACTCAGGAATTCCTTGTCGAACATTTGCTGCACCTCGTAAATATTGTTCGAAGCAAGTAGCATTAAAATGATATAAAAATCGATGGAACCCGCGAAAAAATGCAGCAAAAGGTAAAAAAGGCTTATTAGTCGCGAGAAAAGCGACATAAAAGTAGAGAATTTTGTTTCATCACTACATAAATGAAATTCTATACTAATCGGCATTGTTCTAAAGTAAAAAAGACATTTAATTAAAATCCGCCCTTGTGATAAATGTCCGGACTACGCAGAGTGAATTTAATCAGTGAGATATGAATCACGAAATACGAGCAAAATTTCTTCAAATCGTACAACAAATCAAACTTGAACTTTGAATAATTTTATTTCTTAGTTAGAGACTCATCACTAAGTTCATTTAGGCCATTCAACTTTAAAATTTCAACGCTATTCAATAAATTCTTGCAAAAATAGTCAGTTCTTTGAAATTAGACGAATCACTAGAACATACATTATTCGATGAATTAAGAGTGAAACAATAAGATATTTTGATGATAGTTCATTGTTTTAAAACGGCCAACATACTATTTAAAATAATGCAAAAAGCAATAAATATTTAATATTCAGCTTTATTAAAATGGAGTGAATTTTTGAGTAATTATTACATTTTATTGACATTCATGTAAACTGTTTTGGTTTTTTGTAACATCTGATATAAAAAATGGAACTTACCGTAAGTAAATAAGACATCCGCGTTGAATGAATTCGATCTGGAACTAAAAGAATATGTAAGATATTCTAAAACCATTTTATTTCCCGTTGATTTAATAACCGGAGGAGATTTATCCAGATTTCCACAGTAGGTGGCCATACGATATCTTTGATTCACAAATGGTCCGTCGTATATGGTTAGCCTGGAATTAATATGAAAATAAAAATTAATAATAATATTAATAATTTACTAATTTGGCTTCTAGTAAATCACAGGTCATTAAATAATACATTTATTTTACGTATTTTTTAAACAAAAGCTAATGTTATGATTTTATGGTGATAAGAGTAAGTTCCTTTACGTTATTACGGAGAGTAGACTAACATACCTTCTTGGCTATCCAAGATGAGCAGCGTCTCGGTCAATTCTGCGGACGTTTCGGCCGTATAGCTGTGGCCTTCTTCAGAGCTGTACTCTTGCAAGATGGCCGAAGCGTCAGCACAATTGACCGAGACGCGGCTCATCCGGGATTGCCAAGAATGTATTGACTCCGGGCGCGGAAGCCTACGAACGCAGACTAACATACCACTGACTATAATGAGTGGTAAGATAATTTATGTTCAAAAATCTTCTCACATATGTGAAAATATCAAAATGCACCTACGGTTTTAATTAACTTTAAAGAACAAATTCGGCAGTACTGTTACAATAGTTTTGAGTAGTTCCCCTTCATTTTGAAGGGATGGCATCACATTACACTAGTTGGAAGCAAATTACTAATAGACTGAAACGATAGACTACTCGTGTTGATAAACTCGTAAAGATCAACTAATAGACTATTCGTATTGATAAACGCGTTTATAATCGCTTCTTTTACCTCTGGAAATGAAGTAAAAAATGAAGTACTAGCGATTCGTTTCACTCAAACTCTTGAACTTTTGAACGTTATGTAGATAAAAAACATTTTTTCAATACATATATAATATATATAATATTATATATAATATATTATATATATAATATTTTCTGTTCGAAAGTGTAATTAAAATGATATCTTCATAGTATCATAAGATGGCATGTTATTTTGAGACTATTTTCTATCGACAAAATTCGAAATTTCGCAATTTTCGTAAAGAAATATTTGAAGCATGTATCTACGCTGGGAGGAGATAATTTGAACTGAAGATTTTCTTGCAATAACTAGGACCAACAAATCATTGCGAAGGGCCGTTAGATGGATCTAATTCGGTATACTAACCCTGGCTCTACAACAAAACAGAGGCCACTAACCTGAAGGGACCAAGGAGAAGACAAGGTCAGTCAGTTAAGTTCAGTTCATTTCCTGCTAAGGAACATGGTGATCAACCCAAGCATTTAATTGTGTCCTGTCATTTAAGCGGGTCACCTCAGGTCACAAAATAAATGGTCATCATTGACACTTACCCGAACCCGTTCATTGAGGGATCGCAGAATGAAGGCAGCTGGAATGATGAGAACCTGAAACATTCATCAAAAATTCATATCAATTACTTTACATATGTTTAATTAAAATACTTAGAAATAAACAACGTATATATTTAATTTTAAGGCTGATTAAAAATTGACTTAAATCACACTTTTTAGTTGGGTTAAGTATCAATTTAGTCCCACTGGGAGGAAAGTTATAGAACGGAGTACTTAATAATGTATAAGCGCTGTAGCGTTCGAAAAACTACGAGCAAAACGAAAACTAAGGATTATTGAAACCATTGTCGGCGGCTCCTTGAGGGCAGCGCCCAAGTGTTTGTTGTTGAAGTCCTGTAGTCGAAATATCCAAATCCCCATTCCTCGCACATCTAGCAAAATGACAGCTCAAGAAACCATGCGCAGATTATAACCGTCTTTTACCAAGAATGGGTAAGGATAATCAACTAACGTAACTAGATGAAAGCTAGAGCCTTTTTTCCCACACAGTTCGAATTCAAGTTATAAGAATAAAAAATAAAGACCAAAAATCCCGCCGAAATTTTGAGTACATTGCAGTGCGTTGCAGGGAGCTGACGAAATATGCATCACGTGTTTTATCTGTCCTGCAGACAATTTTTTTAAGGGTTGAAAACAAACTTCCAAAGAGGGACCGTAATGTGGCGATATTACTGTTTAGCGTAGAAAAAATGCCAAGTTTGAGCAAACGTAGTTACAAAAAGTATGTGACCTAGGCTCATATAAACTCCACTGGGGATTTTGTATTCCTTATTACGAGAGGTGAACGACTCCCAAATATAAAATCAGATTTCAAAAAACGTAATCAAATACCACACAAGAAAAATATAATAATTAATGTTACAATTGTTTAAAACAAAAACGTCGTGATTCCTAATTTTTTGAAAATGTGCAAACTTACTCAGACAAATACTATACTTCCTTTATGGCCTAAAAATATTATTATTCGCCATAAGTCTCATCGACCCCCTTTTCCCGCCAATGAACCCCCCGGCGCATAGCGCACCACTCCGAGCGATTCGCCGCTGCGCAGGCGCCTCCTCCGAACATGCGTTTCGCGCACGAGTGCGCCTCTGCTGCTCGGCGCCGCCCCTCGCCAACCGCGTCTCCACAAAGCCTCCCACCACCCCGCCTCATCCCTTGCTTCGGGGAGCATTCAATTCACCACCGGGAACAGTCTTGTTAAGCCAATCGGTAGCGCTTTTGCCAGCTAATCCCTGTGAAACAATCCCTGTGACACACAATAAACAATCATGGAGGCAGCTGGCAGCAGGCCTGCATGGCAAGACGTATCAAAAATAGGACGCTAAGAGGAGGGATTGTCAGGATCCAATCGATGCGTTAGGCCAGTAGAAGGTTCCAGAAGCCTCAGTCAGAAGATAAGCACCACGCACGTAAAGACACTTTCCTAATGGGGTGGACATAAGAAAGCGAGGGTGCTACAGAGGAGCTAGCAAAACGACACTTGATACCAGAACTCGATCGAAAACACTTGATCTGTTTTTTACTGATCTGTTCATGCCTCAGGCATTACGCCCCGAGGAAGGTCGCAGAATGGCGACCGAAACGTCGGCACCTTCGCCATGGACGCGGCGTCACCCGGACAGCCTAGTAAATACTGACTCCGGCCGCGAAGGCCTACGCTCTCACTTGATCTGTTGACTCAGCGAGACACTTTATAAGATGAGCTAGTGAGAAACATACTTCATCAGACGAGACTTAGGCAATGAATGGCAGCGGTTAACAATTTACCGGAGTGCGACTGGCCAATTTCTCAGCAATCCGACCGTCTATCACTTACTATCATAATTCAAGTCATCATTCAAGTCGATCAGTCAAATCGACACCCGAAAGCTTAAAAGGGTGTGCAGTCCGTTCTACTGGTCGTGTGAACGCGGTCGAGGTGTGTGACGGCCTCCGCGTGCGCATCAACTTCGTGATACGTCACTTCGAGAATGGTTGCGGACGGCCGCTGACTTCCCTGCAACGTAGTACGTCTCCTTCGTGGAGACACGAAGCACGAGATACTTCGCGGCCTCTTCTTCCACGCTAAACAGTAATATCGCCACATTACGGTCCCTCTTTGGAAGTTTGCGTTCAACACTTAAAAACTTTGTCTGCAGAACAGATAAAAAAACGTGATGCATATTTCGTCAGCTCCATGTACTCAAAATTTCAGTCGGGCAAAATTTAGCCGGGATTTTTGGTCTTTATTTTTTATTCTTATAACTTGAATTCCAACTGTGTGGGAAAAAGTCTCTAGTTTTTATCTAGTTACGTTAGTTGATTGTCCTTACCTATTCTTGGTAAAAGACAGTTATAATCTGCGCATGGTGTCTCGAGCTATCGTTTTGCTAGATGTGAGAGGAATGGGGATTGCCGGGACTCCACAGTTGGAACTGTGTAATAACGGCCCGCGAACGTATAATCCCATCGAAGTGAGATAACGAAATCACCGTCATCAACTTTGTGAATTTGTCCATCTCCATTAATTTACATAATAAGCCTGGACTGGGGACGGTCAAATAGAAATCGTAATTCAAAATGTATCTATAGATTCTTCTATTTTTAATAAATGTTTCCCTGCCACTTTGACGCTCTGCGCTAATAATACAACAAATAATACCATTTTAAAAATATAATTAATTTTCATTCATTCTTTTAACACATTTGCAATCATTCATTCATCACTCATTATACCATGTATTGGCATATTTTTTAATCATTTCTTTTCTTTTCTTTCTATAACTTATGATCAATGCCAATTTTAATGTCAAAACGTTATTTTACTGCAGATTTAGAATAATGTATTTGCAATTTCCTGGTTGTTGCACTGGTCTGCCCTCTTGACCGACGAACAATGTGGTTATTCCATTACCAAAGTTCCATCCACAGTAAATTCAGCCCACACAAATTACTTTTCATAACTTAAAATAATCAATTAGCAAAGTCTCGCACCTACGCCCTAACATGTCCGTTCGTCATGTGCGCTCACACAAAGCTCTGCGTTCACCACTCACACGTTTGCCTTCAACTGTATACTTTTCTGCCTAAATGATTCATAAAAGTGTTTGTTGTCTTTCTTTCTGCGCAGCTACATTCGCTTGCCGCCACTTCTTAGCATTTCCGTCGAATGTTTATTTGGCGTCACTATTACGTTGTTTCTATTCAGTTACTAATTATATTTTACACTTTTACTTCTTCTTACACGGAAATAATTCACTATGTGTCCCAACTTTGATAAATTCTATTTCAATATTTTATTTCACCCATAGTTGAATCTACACGATTCTATTTCACTGACCACAACCATTTTCTCTGTACCATCTGTGATTGTTTTGTCTTTCTTTATTGTTATTTTCGTCGCAAAAACTAAATGTTTTAATGTTTTACAGATTCATTGAGATAGTCATAAATGACTCATATCATTACAAATAGCACACATTCTTTAGACGTACCGCCTTTGGTAATTGACTTACCTGACGACTACAACAGAATTTGCAGGTGCAGTAATTGTCCAGGTACAGTTTATCTGTACATGGTAGAATTCCACGTAAGTATCAGGTGAAGAAAGAGCCCCTGGTTCATTTATCGGTCCTCCACAGGAAGCTACAACAACAAATATTCACAATTCACATTAAAATTTCTTTAGAAACATTTGTGAGCAGTAAAATAAATATTTTTAGTGTGACTTACTTATTGATTTGAATCTTACGAGGAAGCCTGATCTTGAAACCGAAAAATCGGTTTTGAAGATCAGAGAAAAGTAATTCGATGAGACAAATGGAGGAGGTTTATTTGTGCCACAGTACGGTCCAAGTGTCATAATTGATGACCATCTTGGAGGTCCGACAATTGTAACATTATCGTACCGACATGTACCTAAACAATGAAATAAAAATAAAAAAAATCTGTAAAGAACCGTTTCATGAATAATGAAGGTAAATACAAGGCAGAAAATAATGTTAAAAATTAAAAAAATCTGTAAAGAACCGTTTCATGAACAATGAAGGTAAATACAAAGCAGAAATAATAACGTCTCCGCAACATTACATTAATTCTAAAACTATTGCTATCAAACCAATAATCAGCTCTGAATATTAGTCAAAGTAAAAACGTAGGCGTTTTAAGGAATGTTCTTCCTTCAAGAAACAAATTTTCATAAAATAAGATGTTTGGTTAATTAAACGCTATATGAATAATATTTCATTCAAAATTGTGATTATATTCTTATTTGATTGTTCTTCGAGTTGTTCAATAAAACAGTCACGTACCTCCTTGTCCTTCTAGTTCAAATGTATCAAATTCAGCTCGCATCCAATGTCCGGGCATTTTTACTGTATAATTGCAATCCAAATTCATACCATATTCTCTAGGGTAACTAGGTGATACTATATGCCCTTCCGTAACATTTTCAATCACCCCTCCACACTGAGGAGTCCACTGGATCTGAAATTATGAGGGTTGAAAATACTTTAACACTGGGAAACCGAAAAAAGAACTTCGTGTGAAACGTGTATGTGAACAGCATCATGTCGCGAGGCGTCGAAATGAACATGGCTCGGGTTGTAACAATTTAAAGGTTTCAACATCTTTTTATTTTTATAGGCATAATTATGTGTGTACGTTTGGGTGTGTGGGGTTCTCTTGACATCAGGTGCGGCCTAGCTATTACTCATTTAGAACGCGCAGAGTATTGAATAAAAATGAAAAAGAAAAGCATAAAAAATTAATGTATATACAAGAATAAGGAAACATCGAAACATACGATAATAATTAAAAAACGAGATCGTGCATCTCTATGACGTAAGTAAGTGAATAGTCTACTATCCCCAAAAATTAATGAAAGGTTCTTGTATCCGTAGTGATCCGAGTTTGAAACTATGGTACCACGTAGAAGTAAACGACAAATACAAATAATGCTGAAGCCTGCTCTTTCCACAGAAACAAATAAAGCAGCAGCAAAAAAGCAAAAGCAAAAAACATACAAAATGAACAAAAATATTAAGGTATGATCGCTACGCGATCGAAACGATCATAAGCCTAAAAAAATTATTGATACCAGACAACATGCTTTATTTATCATAATTATCATAAAAATATAAAATTAAATGCAACAAATATAAAATAATAATTATCGCAGTTCATACCTTAAATCCATCTCCTTGGATATTTTGGTTGCTCTTAAATCGTATTTTCATTCGTGTTCCTGTTGACGTCATCACTCTGTGTACCTCTCTCCCACAAACTTTTTTAATAGACACATAACTGCTGTCAGAATAGTCATATATCTAGAATGATATCAATTTAATTTATTAAACGTTTTTCATTTTTTACACAAAAAAAACATTCGTTTCCGAATAACATAAGCATTAGATCAATGAAGGGGATTGAAAATTAATTTTTATTTTCGATGATACTGGATCCAATTTTGTATATTTAATGTGTTTTTAAATAAAAATTAAGCTTCTAAGCTTGATGATGAAATAAGAGGAAATGACAAATCTAAGAACAACATTGTACTTAAGTTCCACTTGTAAAAATCTTAATTCTTCAAATTATACTCACCTCAACGAAATCATTGTCGCAATTATCACTGTCTTCTAACTGAAACCGATCAACAAATCGTAACTGAATAAAATACCCTTCATCAGCACGTATTTCCCACTCACATTCCATATTAGGTGGGTATTGACTGGGATAGTTGGGGCTTAATATTGCTCTGTCTTTATTGTGAATCACTCCTCCACATCCTGAAATGAAAGAAAATAATATGTACCATAAAGTACCAGAAATTTTGTTGACAAAATAACTGTTCATTCAAATTTTCACACGCACTCTGCAAGCAGATGTGCTGGTATGCGCACACCCTCCTCTAAGGCCCCTCAAGTAACCTCTTTTATTTCCGTAGGTCAATACTACGACATATTTGCAACATTTCAGCTCATTTAGCAAACGAGAGTTACCGCCTGTGTCTCATTCACACCGGCCGAATGTACGGCAAGCGTCAAGTGCGAGAGTAAACATCTCGATATGCTCCCATCTCTGTAGGTCAACCCTCCGCAGTGTTCGTGAATAGCTACGTCCTTTCTTTTCATTGAATACGCATCCGGCACGCGTCCCGCAGTCAGTTCCTCTTTTGCCTCTTGCATTCTTTGAACGCTGATAAGCACTGTATTTCCCCAATAATGTAACACTAATACTAGACTATTTAACTTAGGTTATATTCTATTCGCGACTGAAAATCACCAAATTCTGATTTAATAATCTACTTAACCGTGTACTTGAGCTCTGAAAATTTTGTTCGAAATCATATAAAATCAAGTTGAATTATGAATACAGGTGTCAACGAACATTTTTTGCAAGAGTTGGTATGAACATCTGTGATTCAGAGTTATAAAAATTAATATCCGAATCGTCTACAGATTTTGGCCATTATCTCTAGAGCACTAGGTGAAGAAATTGACTTTTGCCACCAGAAAACTGTTATGTGAATATCTACGTTCCTCACTGGGCTCAAGATTACGTGTACTGATGGTGAAGCTTCATTTATGACCAGAAGCAAAGCAAGGGGCCATTACAGCATTTGCTCAAGGATCCGAGGAACTGTACAAAAAACGGATCCTGATGGGGGTTATTGATGCAGAAGCTGAGGTACACTATTTGCTACGGGATTTTTTACTCTTTTAGAATTAAACGGTCAAAATGATAATTGATACATTAATAACATTGTTAAAATCAATATTACTTTTCATTTTGATGCTCATTACAGACTCTAATTGTTTTGAAACAGTTATGAAGCAAAACAAACAAACGAGCACACAAACAAACAAACTAGGCACTAAAAATTGCTTATTGATTTTAATCCTTTAATGCCTTCTCACAAGTTGTGAAATAATGCACAGTACATGCAGTGTACGTGAATGTTTTGTAGTGTGCTGTTGATAGTGGCAGCTGATGAATACAACCAATGGTTGTCGAGCGTCGAGCGTTGTAGTTATGGACATTGAGTTCGTTGAGAATATATTGTCACCCTTGTGTAATGCACTGAGTGCCTAGAGATAATTATATGGTAGAATTTATAGCTTAATAAAGGAAAGCTTGCAAGAATCACGTGGGTGGGATTCCCTTACTATTTGTGCAATTTGTGCAATTTTTTTCTGTAATCTAAAAGTCGAGGATCTATGTGATGAGCTTCTCCAGAAGATTATGCCATCTCTCGGGTGGGAGTGAACATTAGCCAAATAGACACAATGAGCTATATGAAGGCTGACTGAACTTGAAAGAATTCTGCAAGTGTAGCATAATGAACTTAATTATGAGTTCAATCCATTTATACTGATATTTCATACCGTGATGATCTTCGCTAATCCTCCACTGCGAAGAAACTCGAGAAAAAATGTTTTCTGAATACCAGCATTATAAACAAACTGTTCTGTTGCAAGAAATAGTTCATAATCGGACATTTTACGGTACAAATTATTGCATCATAACATATTCAGCCAATCACAACGAGAGAATTGTGGGAAGCTAGCAGCAAACGACCATTGACAACCGACCATTGTTTTCTCGCAGTTATAGATGTACTTCTGGTAGGGGAGAAACGGGCAACTGAGTATTTACGATCTTTACGAAATTTTGATGAAATCATTAACTCTAACAAAAATAAGTACATTTGTCCAATTATTTACGCTGTAACAATGATTCAAAATTATATAACATCAAATAAGTTAAGTTGTCTATTCATGCAATATGATTAGTTGAAATAATCACAGGATGCAAAATACGCTGCTCTCTTGTAAAGATTAGTTTTCACATCAGCTTATTCACGGGATTCAAAACATTTGTGCTGTTATCTTGTGATATATTATTAACTCTACTTATCCCCAGTTGCAGAGATTATGTCTACGTTAAGTGAGTAAGAAGAATGTGTAGTAATAAGAACATACATTAAAAATTGAACACCATTACCTGACGATAGAGATGACAGGCTTAAACTGAAGCCCTTGAATTGTGAATCCCCATTACTGTGAAATTCAATCCACAAAGTATTACCCTGCGATATAATATCTTCACGAAGATGAGAACCACAAAAACGGTCAATCAGGGGGGACGTCGGTAATGGTCCATTGTATATTAGCAAGTAGTCATTTGAACATGTTTCTTCTAATTGCATTGCATTAAACTTGATCTGTAATCACAAATATATATTTTAATGACGTACACATTATCACATTGGTGTCATGTTTAAATTTAAATTGTAGAAAAGAAAAAAAAATATTTCGTTCATTAAATTGTGGAGATAAAAGTTCAACTTTTTTAACCAATTGTAAGTACTCAAATTAGGATATTGTTTTCCCAACTGATAATAAGTGACTCAAGGAAATTTGTTCCTCCAAACGTTTCATCTGCATTTGGAGGAACAGCTGTGCCTATCAGCCCGGAAAATCATGAACATAGAGTCGGCCTTATATATTCTCTGACATGATGGATAAAAACTATAAAGTTGAATTATATTTAAAAATGCCCAAAAGCAGTAGAAATGTTTGTTTACTGAGAGATACGTTTTACTTTCAATTTTTCATCCTAATTGGAGCTGGTGTAAGGTTAATCTCAAACACCTTTGTTATTTTTAAAACATGAAGGAGAACAATAGTATTTTCATTACAAAAGTACTCTTACAGTAATCCTCAGTTCTTCTGGAAATGTCACTGCCCATGCACAATGCACATTGGGTGGATAATTATTAGGATATCCTGGACTTGTCACATTCTCTTCTGGACCGGTCAAAACCCCTCCACACGGAGATATCGAGTACTGACCTTCGTAGGTCATTGCCACCCGAGACATCGCAATCTGAAGAAATAAAAAATATGCATTATTACACACTCATGTAAATATATATTGTGACGAACGCGAGTGCCTTCGATCGTCCCAGACACCCACGCAACTAAAGAACGTCTGTAGTAGATCGGGTGTGCGAACGCAATTTGAAAAGGGCGCACCTGTAACCTGCGAGACAGTTGCGCGCTATGTCCGCGGCGCCGTGCAGGTAAATGACGTGGAAGCAATCAGAGAGGGGAGGGGGAGATGACGCGCGCTACCCCTATACGGGCGCACGCATAAAAGGGCGAGCGGCCGATCATTCACGCTCTTCTGTTCCCGATCGCCGAACCAGCAGCACTCTCTTCGGTTCCCGACCACCGATCCAGCAACAACCACGCCGAGACTGGACTGTAGATAGGAGTTATTGGACGACAGGGGATGCCTAGATAGCCGTCCGCGTACTTTTATTGTAAGTTTCTGGTGGAAAGTTTTCTTCAAATAGGACGCGAGGAGTTAATTTTGAATCCATCATTTCATTGTAAATCTGAGGATAATAAAAGAGGGAAAACGTTCATGCCGTGCTGAAGTAAATTACAGTCACAGGCAAAATTTGGGAGAGTGAGAGCGAGTGCCACGCGTACGCCCGAAATATGCACGATTTCTTGATTGCGGTGCAAGGAACATTCGCACGCGGGGGTAAACGAAACATCGAGGAAGAAGAAGCAGACGAGGACGAAATGCGCCGGGAAAAGAAGAATGGAAAACGACCAGAAGGCGACGTAGAAGACGACGCAGGAGGGCAGCGAGAAGTCGCCGGCGACCAGGGGGCCCCGATCGGCATCGCGGAGGCAGGAGGTTTCGTCGACGCCGATGCGCGTAAACATCGAGCAGGCGCAGCTGCGCGATGTAACGGCGCCAAAGCGCTGAAAACTCAGCGTCCTGCGACTAGGGAGGACTTGTTAAACGGGTAAATTGCGAGGGAAATGAGTATTCAGGACGCATCTAATTATCATTCAGAGATTCTTGCTATTTTAAATCATTTTTGGCTACAGAATTGTAAATAGGTCAATATTAATTTACGTTGCTGGCGGCAACGAAGAAATTGTTATAGAGAGTGTTACGCATCTGGTCACATTTTTGTAATAAAGTCATTTGGATTGATTATTAAATTGGGAACTGCGTTATTGGTTAAGGTAAATAGTAATTGTTGTAAAGTGAATTCGTAAGCGAAACAAAGAGAATACCCTGGGATCATTTGCGCAAAGAGAATAATTTATGCTTCATTGAGAAAGGGTACACATTTTTTGCTCTATCGTGTTTCTTTTGATTTTGGTGTGCTATTTTTGTAAGCAACTAGAGGGTGTTAAGAATATTAAACCCAGTTTAATTGATTTGTGTGTTCTATTTTTGGATTTTCTCACAACACCCTGCGTATTACTGCGTATTACGTAAACACTGCCCTGAGGTATTGCAAAAGCCCGCAAAAGCATGCTTTCTGCGAGGTCGCCAAGAGACGTTTTTAGAAATTACTAGGTGGGGAGATTCGTGTATATATGTAATATATATATCCATGTATATTCTATCGCTAATCTTTGATTGCCGGCTCTAGAAAGAATATAGGTAGATGTGTACATCAGTTGTCGAATATTTGTTATAATTTCCGTGTTACTGCCGTGGTGGGACTTATGTGTTAAAACGAGAAATTGGGACTACATAATGTAAAATTTCATACACTAACTTGCTTTACTTAGCTTAAAGGAAAGTATAATGATATTGAATTTATATGTTGCCATACTTACTATTATTTTTGTTTTAGAAAATGGACTAACTATTGTTTGAGGTTTAGTATAGTTTCCACATGTCGAATAGAGTATTTGTTTTTCATCAGCTGAAACATGTAATACATATCAATATAAGTGAAGTGTATTTCAAAATTAATTTACTTTAGTTACTTTCAGTTTAATTTTTCTTTCTACTTACCCGAAGTAACTTTGATCTTTGATCCGCTGTATCGACAAGAGTAGAAGTTACTATTACGTCCTATTGTCACATTGCGAAATGTAAGTGCCAGCGTTCCATTTATAGATGATTCGGAGTTGTATTCCCACATACAAAAGAATGACGAACCAGAAATCACGGGATAAGGAAAGGAACCGTTTGACCCCTGCAGTACACCACCACATGCTGATGGACAATGAAAATAAAAACAATGCTAAGAAAGTAATATCTTGTACAAACACATTACTTTTGAATGAGTTAAAAAGTTTTTAATACAATTAAATACAGAATGACTTTCATGAATTGTGCAGAGCACTACTAGGCAAGGAGTACTAGTCAAGGAGAGAGTTTATTTTTCTCGGGACTCAAAATACCCTAGCTTCTGCACTAGTCTAAACTTGTTGATTGCAGATATCTTATTGAAGACCGAGGTACTTGTAAACATTCTCCGTCGCCGTACTGTTTTTTCCATCTTGTCTAGAAATTCAAAATTCAAGGTAATTCTACTCCCATTTGTCATTGCTAAACTTACCGAAGCCATGTTATGGGAGTTACGAAGAGCCGTTATATTCATTCTTTAGATAAAATAACTTTCATCTAAAAAAAAGAACTACATTATTCAACAGATTATAAATTAAGCTTTTTTTATGTCTTACCTGCTGGCTGATCTGAAGAATACCTCATCAGAAAACGTACAGGACGGTTGGTTCTAATATAAAAATATACTTTCATGATATTACTAGAAGATTCAACTCTTCGTAAAGTTCTGTTTCTCCACAGTGAATCAATGAAATATGAATATTGATAGTTAAAAAACTGAAAAAGAAAAAAATGATTTAATTATTTTGATATCATTAACATGAAGAAAAACTGACTGTGCGTATGTGTGTGTCTGTGGGGGGGAGGAGCTTAGTGTGCCCACGTTTCGTTAAACCCCAGAATTCCTCCCCTGTATCTTTTAGTATACTTACTGCTCTTGAATAGTTAATGAAGGTAAGGATCAATGTATTATGACATTTGATATGAAGAACTATTCGCTCTAATGTAATAAAAACTATGTATTTATGTGGGTAAATGATTATTTGATAGAACTGCTGACGAAGTAACCAAACTTCTCACTTCTCCTATCTCTGGCAAAACAGATCTCAAAAAACGTGTTTAGTTAGTGAAACTATATATTTTACAATTTTCATGGCGAGGAGCCATCTCAGAGTTTGCTCACTGGATCAAGGGAAACTGAACGACAAATTTCTCATACTACATGCGTCACTGCTTACACGGCTGACATCATGCGAGAGCAAGTCTCCAAAGAAGAGCCAGCCCACCATTAAATATTTGGTGTTTGATTTTTTGCGTTATGGATCATTAACCTTTTTGATATTCTTAATATAGAAAGATCTGTTGCTGTATGTACGAGTATTAGTATACGTTATTTCAGTATTGTTGCAATACGTTATTTCAGTATTGGTGAAGTTAATAGTTTTTGTGAAATTTTTAAAGTTATTTTAGTACTAGACGAGAGTATTTAATGTTTTTCGCGAGCAGTGTGAAGCTAGGTTTTGGAAAACCATTTTGTGTGGTTTTGTTCAGCAACATTTTTGCTATTGCAGGCTACTAGTCAATTTATTAATATCATTGATATAGTTTTCGTTATTAGTGATAAGTATAGTCTCTCATTGTATATAAAGTTATGCAGCATAATATTTTATTTGGCTTTTAAACTAGTGAATTAACTTCAATCGTTTAATGTCCCCCTACCTGTGTGTTGCAAAATAACATGTATTAACTGTAGATTTCTTGTAGAGAACTGCTTATAGCAGAAGATGAATATAATTTGTAGGTCTTGGGTTATAATATCTGTATTGGATGGAAGTTAATAACTCTGGATAAATGGGAAGTTAATTTTATCTGGATAAATTATTATTCTTTAAGTTAAAAGTTTTGTTCTCTTTCGTAAGAATATTTTTTCTGTTTTTCAGCCAACAAAAAATTAGTAAATAAGTTGGGCATTTTTATTTAATAAACCAAACTTTTGGGAATAGATAATTAAACATCATAAATATCTATACAAAAAGTATCTGGCATTGTCAAATACTTTTAGGAAGTTCTGGTAGTTTAAATTCTTATACCGATATATCAGAAGAATATCTCTCAGCGAGGTCCATATCTACTGTCACAAGATCAACAGTAACTCTTCTAGATTTTGGTACAATTATGGTCCAGGTACAACTTCTGTACCGAGTTCCACTGGGATAATCAGGATTTTTAATTTCTCCTGATGGTGCTGTCAACTCTCCTCCGCAATCTAAATAAAAATAACAAATAATCTAATCAGCTTTGCCAATAATATTAACATCAACAATTATAACAACTACTGACCATAACACTACTACCAATAATAGCAATAATAATAATAATAATAATAATAATAATAATAATAATAATAATAATAACCGTAGGGAGAGAGGAGGAGTCAAGAGGAAAGAGGAACGAGGTACGAAGGAGAAAGGAGAAAAGAGGAAGAAGGAGGAAGGAGAGGAATAATTTCACACATAATTTATAAAAGTTGCTTTGCAGTAATTTTAAAGTCGTACGACTAAATCGTAAGAAAGTATTGGTAGGTAAAATTACCATGGTGATCGATTTATGAAAAAAACAACTACAGGGAATCCATAGAAAATACAAGGATATCGAAATACGGGAATTATACCGAGAAAATATTGGACAGCGGCACGTCCCGTAAAAACGCGCAGTCGATTCAATACTGAAACCTAATCGAAGAAAAAAAAACTGTTGCGTTGCGGTGAATGGTAAAGTTATATAAATTGACGATCCTTTAAAATATCATGTTTACATTTTAGCAACATAACACAGTAGGCATACCACAATTTTTTTGTGGTTCGGTTCTCTTTATGTTTAGTTGGTCTATTGTGTTCTAAAATGAAAGAAAATGAACATTATGTCCCTCATTTCATTTTACGGTCAGAATTTTGATTTTATTCAATTTTAGTCATTTTATAGGTTTTTTGATTTAATTTTGTTCCAAATTCAATATATCAAAAACAATGTTTGATTGTTGGTTCGTACTTAATGCGCTGCCGTATCATTCATGCGATTGCGATAAAACTGAGTCAAATTGTTACTTGTACTTGTCGGAACAATATAAACATAGTATGCGTATGCCTGCGCACATAGACGTGCGTTGATGATGATTTTATGCTGACCCAAACGCCCCTAAACAGACGCTCTTCGTAACGGCGCTCTGTGCGACCCGCATCACCCTGAAGTAGATTATTGAGACGTCTTTACTGCGTATTATGCCCCTGCGATTGCGAAATTTCTCTCGGGAGAGAGACAGAGGGAGAGAGAGGGAGAGAGAGAGGGAGAGAGAGAGGATGAGAGGAGAAGAGGGCGGAGAGAGAGAGGAAGAGGAGAGCGAAAAGAGAAGGAGAGGAAAAGAGAAGCATGGAGAGAAGGAAAGGCACGAGGAGAAAAGAGAGGGAGGAAAAAGAGGGGAAAGAAAGGAAAAGAGAGAGGAGAAAAGAGAGAAGAAAAGAGAGAGGAGAAAGCAAGAGGAGAAAGAGAACGGAAGAACGAGAAAAGAAAGAGGAAAGAGAAAGACTGGAGAGAAAGAAGAGGAAAAAGGAATGAAGAAAGAAACAGAAAGAGAGAGGGAGAAAGAGAGAGGGAGAAAGAGAGAGGGAGAAAGAGAGAGGGAGAAAGCGAGAGGGAGAAAGCGAGAGGGAGAGGGACAGGGACGGGGAGAGAGACAGAGAGAAAAAGGGAGGGTGAAGAAGAGAGAGAAAGGGAGGGTGAAGAAGAAAGAGAGATGGAGGGCAGGACAACGTCTGTCGGGATCCGGTACGTTAGAGTTACGTTAAAGGATACGTTAGAGTTATCCTTTATACTAAAAGAAGTTCAGTAGAAATGTCACCCGCCTTTGTAACCCTATTTTTTGAAAAGAACAAACTTATTTGTCATATTTGAATTTTTTTGACAAAAAACTTAACATATTTTAGAGTGTTGAAATATGCATTTTAACTAGGAAAGAATGTTTTTCATTAGACATGACGTGTGTCAGTCTTATTTGCGGTCATAATCTTCATCGATTACGAATACGGGATAAAGCAGAAAGATCTGGAAACAGCATGGAAATTACAGGGAAAACGCAGGGAACGCAAATTCACAAAATCAGCGTGATTTTAAGGTGTGAAATCTTAGAATCCATAAAACACAGATGTTGACTATTTCTGATAGATAGTGGATGCAATTGACTTAATTGAAATTATACGTTTCTTTAATCTGAACCTTAGAGGAAGCAGTGGGAAGAATGAGGAGAAAAGGAGGGTTGAGGAGAGATGAAGAAGTACGAAGAGGAAAATGGTGGAGGGTGGACGAAGGTAAAGGACGGAGAAAAAAAAAGAACAACACGAAGGAGAAAAATAAAAAAGACCAATAAGAAAACGCCGATGCCGAAGAAGACGAAAAAGAGGAAAACGACGACAAAGAAAACGACAAAAATAAGACAAACAAGACGACGTCAAGGAAGAACTGAAAGACGTGGACGAGGACGTCGTCGCCGAGGAAGACGACGCCACCTTGAAGACGTGACGAAGAAGACATCACGGCGAAAAAACGACGGAGAAGAAAACAACGAAGAAGAAGGCAACGACGAAGAAAAAGGTGAGGACGAAGATGACAAACAGCGAAAAACAAATAACGACTATGAAGACGGTAACAACTAAAAGGGCGAGGAAAAAGACGACGTCAACGAAGATTCGAAGAAGACTGCAAAGAAGACTATGGTAAAGGACACTGCAAAGACCACTACGAAGAGGACGGCAATGAAGAATACGGCAACGACGGAAAAGAAAGCGATGACGAAGACGGAAATGACAACGACGTTGAAGAAGAAAGAGACTGACTAACGACGACGAAGAAAAAGACAAACAAGTGTATGAAAAAGACAAATGACTATGAAGATGAAAAACGACCACGAAGACAAACGACGAAAAAGACAAACTACGAGGAATACAAAAACGACGACGAAGATGATGAAAACGACAACTAATAAGAAAACGAAGAAGAACGTCCAAGAAGACGTATATGATGGCAAAGAAAACGAGAAACTAGGTGATAAAGAAATTAACGAAGGAGACAAAAACATTTAAAATATTTTGAAAGTTATCCGTCTCTTTATATTTACCATGCCATTAGTAGAAAACTAAGATTTTCAATATGCTTAAATTATTTGAAAATCAGTTTATGCTGTAGTATATTTAACATCTACAATGCACAAGTTGATCATTTAAAATGTTTGATTTTTTAAATATAGTAAAAATTTTACTAGTATCTGTAGGTGCAGTGTATTTATATCTGTAGTTACATCTGCAATGACATTTCCAAACACGGTGTTGCCTCATCTTCAGGTACATCTGCAATGATTTATTAATAATTATATAATAAATCATTGCAGATGTACCTGAAGATGAGGCAACACCGTGTTTGGAAATGTACCGTTTTAAATAAAAAATAATTTATGAACATGACTGACTTTAAATTCAATTAATAATGTATTAAAAAACTTGTCTGCTATAAAAAGAGATGTACTTAAAATTTCTGAAGACAAAAAAAGACGATGACAGTGAAGGCGTCAAAAACAACAAAGAATAAGAAGAAGAAAAACAAGGAGAGTAGAAGGCGAATATGAAGTAGACGAAGGAAACAGTAACATTTTGACATTCGTTTTAGAGCTAGGTAATATTCCGCCGTTGTTTGAGCGAGAATTCTTAATTAGCCGGCTAATTATTAGTAGTTTTCTGAGATTTATACGATCTGTACCAAGTCATAGACGAAAGAAGATACAATAAATCCTCTCTCTACGACCAAATGAATGGCAGAACAAGCGAGGCACTGGCTGCGCACGATCTATCCTTTCACTTCCTTGTCATATTCTTTCCTCTTTCACACACACACAAACTTACACTGAAAAAAAGGAACCCATAAATTTCAACAAGGTTTCAATAGTTACACAAAGCCTAGCTGCGTTAAACGGAAACATTGTTGCATTATTTATTTTCCTGGATGTGACAGCATCTAAGATAAAAGTCAACCTTACTGGACAAATCAGCCTGTGATTGCTGAAAAGGTGATGATACTTCATAAACGGACCTGGTCCCCTCCCCAAGGCTATACACGTTGCAGAGCAGTTACAGGTCACAGCAGCAAGGTACCTTGTCAGATGACCACGAGGAACTCTGGGCTGATGGCCGGGGGGGGGGGGCGCCCCGCCCGGCCCCCGGCCGCAGCCCGGGCAGTCGCTCATAATCCACATGCGAGTGTTTAAGAAATATCTCAACAATCAGGGATTCCTCGTATGAGTGTTTGGAGGATACTGAAGATACATAAATTTAATCCGTATCATGTATCCTTGCATCAGGAATTAACTGACAATGACGTTCGAAACCGACTACAGTTTTGTCAATGGTCAGTTCAGAGAATACAAACGAATCCGAACTTTTTTACTCAAGTATTATTCTCTGATAAATCGACATTTACAAACCACGTAAAGTTAACCGCCATAACATGCATTTTTGGAGTGTAGAAAGCCCACACAGAATTCGTCAAGTAAATCATCAGCGACCTTGGTCGGTTAACGTTTGGTGTGAAATAATTGGCGATAAACTTATCGGACCATTCTTTATTGACGGTAATATAAATGGTGACAAGTACCGAAACCTTCTTGATAAAGAACTACCAGAATGCTCGAAGACGTAAGTTTGGAAGTGCGACAAAACATGTGGTTTCAACATGATTGCCCAGCATATTACTCATTAGTAGCACGCGAGGTATTGGATCGGGAGTACAATAATCGTTGGATTTGTAGAGAAGGACCAGTGCACTAGCCAGCCAGATCGCCAGACCTTACCTCACCAGATATCTTTTTGTGGGGTTACCTAAAAGATGTCGTTTATAAAGAAACACCTACTACTCGTGAAAACATTGAGGTTCAGGGCCATCAGTTTGAGCACTTACTTAAAATAAATGCTGAGGTATTTGAAGAATCATCTAAAACCAGCACTCCGATAGTGAGAGGCAAGGGGACTAGCTGAAAACAAGCATTCCAATAGTGAGAGGCAAGGCGACTCACTGAAAACAAGCACCCCGAAGGGAACAGAAGACTACTACGTCCACGTCGTTGTTCCTGGGTTACGCAAAAAGTAGTTTGACTTCTGTAGATAATACTGATTTTTATTAACCACTCAGAAATAATCGATCACGCTCAAAAACACTCAAATTACTGACGGAAATCTTCGGAAATCAAATGTTTGTGATTACAGCTCCACCTATCACAAATCAGAAAAAACGTTTCAGACAAAACTTATGTATTTTTGTCTGTAGAATCCGAATCTGAAATAAAAAATGGGGGTTCCTATTTAAGATTTCAATGTTGCCCACAGCCCCACCCGCTGGGAGCAGGGGTGCTGATTTTAGCATAGAATGATTGCCCCTTCAAAACTGTTAAGATTTGGTCTCGGCTCAATTTTTCGTACATCGTGTATTGTTTGAGTTATTTCAAGTTGTCAAGTTAAATGGGACTATTGAACATTGAAGATAATGGAGAAGGAAGGACGTAGTGTTCACACTTTATGTGTGTACATATCTGATGAATAATATCGTATAAATGCATATCAAATATGTGTACTTACTTTCGTATGTTGAAGAAAAGTTTAGGGAAAATCCTTTATAACGATCAGGCTGTGCACCAAAAGACTTGAAGTCAATTAAAGCCGTCATAGAAGCGACTTGAATAGGTTCTGGCGGATTTTGACCACAAACTGTGTTGACAAGTCTAGCTGTAAAAACGTGAAAATTCAATATAATTCATAAAATTCACTGAAAAAATTATTTTGATATTATTTATTATTTGTTTGTTCGCTTAAATAGTGGCACTTCAAAATGTCTTTTTTCTTACTTGTTTGGAGAAAAGGATTGTATTCAGAAACAGAAACATAATCTGAGCTGTTGCATGGTGTAGAAATAGGCAGATCAACATCTTGAAATCCTATTGTGATTGAAGAGTAGTGAACAACTTCAATTCTCCATGTACATTGTGTATTACTGGGATATTGTCTTGGGTATCCTGGAGAACGAATATCTCCTCTCCAATTGCGAATAATTCCACCACATCTTGCTGCGAGACACAGTTAACAGAATTAAATGAATAATATTTTAAGAGAAACAATAATAAAGAACATAATACTACATCTTAAAAATAAATAAATTTATTTTCTTATTTTTTTTAATGAAATTATTAACTTTATTCACAGAGTCCACAAGTCGTGAAAAGATGATGAGGCAATTTCCTATTGTATATTGCTTTCAAAGCTGACAACAAACATTACTAAAATACTAGTAATGGAATGACATTAACCTTGGTGAAATAGTATTGATAAACTTTAAAATACATAAAATACTTAAAATATAGGTATTCATTAATTGAATCATTTGATTATGTGCTTCTTACCTATTGACACATTAGCCTTGAATCGAGAAGGATGATCATATGTGTTTGTAAAGAATTTTATCCATATCATATTTTGAGTAGATCTTTGGGTACTTGGCGGGCGAATACAGAAACGATTAATTAATCTGGAATTTTGTGTGCCTCCATCCCGAAGTTCAACATAGTCAGCTTCACAACTTTTAACAAAATTATTACCATTATAAAAATGTAGGAGCATAACATTTAATATATAATTTTCAATAAAACATTATTACAGTAGTTTATCAAATAACAGGGATATTAATTCATAATAAAATATTACAATTAATGACTATCAAGAAGAATATGAATAATCTCTGGTAATAACTGAAGTTATTACCTGAAATATCATTTTAACGCAGTTGACAAAATTGTCAAAAAATGTATGATTTTCGATTACAAGGAGTACGTTTATGAGAGTGCCACATACTGAAGGCAAAACTCTTTCAATTAATTACAATCCATTAGGTATTATCGAAAATATTACAAGTTTTAATTAATCTAGGGTACTTTGTGGGTATTAATTTGCTAGTGTATTTTGTGTAATATTACAATTTAAAAAATAATAAAATACTCCGTTTTGTGAATATGTGCGTAGTATAGAGAAAGTTCTGTAATGATACGCGAAAAAACGGCGGATTTTTGACAAGAAAAAAATTAATTACCGAAGCTTGATGAAACGAAAAAGTGGATAAATACAGTTCTTAAATTAAGAAAAAATCCTTTAACTCGTGATGTATCCAGAAGTGTATCCCCATTTTGTGGGTCCTTGATACCGAAAAATCGATTGACGGCAAAACGTTTGTCCGTCCGTCTGGCAGTGAACAACAGTAGCGGCTAAACTAGGCATACCAAATAGTGTAAACCCCAGTCCTTTTGGTCTGAGTCGAAGCTCTGCGATTTTGAAAAACATTAATTAATTTTGGGGGTACTTTACATAAAGCACCACGGACATATTCAAATTTGTCTCAAAAGTGACCTAATATTGTTTACCTACATCACACAGACATACAGACGGGTGGACGGATGTTTTGCCGTTAATCAATTTTTCGGTATCAGGGATCCACAAAAGAGGGATTCTGGATACAAAACGAGTTAGAGGATTTTTTCTTAATTTAGGAACTGGATTTACCCACTTTTTCTTTTCAACGGGCTTCGGTAATTAATTTTTCCTGCCAAAAATCCGCCGTTTTTTCGCGCAGCTTTACATAACGTTCTCTATACCACGTGCATATTCACAAAGCGGACATATTTTGTTATTTTTTAAATTGTACCATTTCAAAGTACAAATTGCTCCGTATATAAGTACTTAAGCAGGAAAGTAAAAATGAATGAGGGAGTGAGGACTGGGCCACTCTCCTGAAATACGTTCTGGATCCACCCCCGAAACCATCAACGAATTGAACTACTATTTTGCTTCACGTGTAAAATTGCATTATGTGAGATATGGGAGTTGATCGCACAAAATTTTAATATTAAATAATAAAAAAGTAAATGAGAAAAAGGTGTCAAATATTTACAAATGAAATTATTCAAATAGTATATACTCACTCTTTAGATGATTGGAAATCAAAAATTGGATCAAAATCCACCTGCAGCGCTTCTCCTCCTGGTGCCATGAACGTCCAAATACATTCTATATGTGGAAGGGGTGAATTTGGAAATCCAGGGGATGATATTTCCATGGAATTATCAAACCGTGAAAGAGTATAAGACCCACCACAGGACACAGATTCTTCAAAGAATCTAAGTTTAAAACCCTAAAAGGAGAAAGAAGCCCTTATTACTTTCGTTAATGTTCTATCGTAGTTATTTAATAAGTGAAAATTTGTACTATTTACAGTATACGTGATGTGTTTGATTTTTACCTGTCCTCCACGTATATTTTTGTATGTTATGGATATATGATTGCTGGTTGATTCAGGAATAACTGGAAGTTCAGTACCACAATATTTTGGTTGGCCCAATGAAGGTGAGTCTGCATAATGTCCATTTTGGATCTGGAAACATGTTTGCTACTAAGTCAAATATCTTCTGTAAGAGAAAATATGATTTTCTAAAATAATATTTATGTTGTTAATAATTAAATCGTTTAATCATAATTCATAATATTTTTTAGGTTCGAAAATGTTGCAATTTGCGGCAGAATGTGCTTCTTATACAGCAAATTTAATTATAATTAGTTTCTAAGCCAAGGCAAATGACAATCAATCTGCTGAAATTGATTAATTTGAAAGAAACAAAAGTAATTATCAGTGTGTTTTTGGCAATGAAATAAAACATTGCACAAAGGCAAATGCCGAAGAAAATTTTCTTGGTCCATTAAAACTGTGGTAGGTTACAATTATTTTCATATGTAAGGATGTATCGTCTGCTGTAATCTAACAGAATCATTTAATGACAGATATCCTGAACAATTTACTCAGGAGGAAGTTACTAGAATCACTTGAGAATAGGGCCATTTTAGAGCATTAAGATGGCAACAGCAAATGCTCACGATTAACATTTGTGGATGTAATATGAGATTATTTGGTCTTGGGTGTTATTTGACTGATTCCGTAGGCAGTATCAGTAGATGAATGATTTATGAAATAAATATTGTTTTTTTCAAGAATCGTCGTTTCCAGATACTTAATAAATTTTTTTTTGTTTTTTCCGCATGTTAACAAATACTATTCTACAATTACTCAATTAAATAAAGAGAGAGAATGAAATAATTGAATATTTGAATATTGTTAAATAACATCATCTTGGTAGCCTATATACCTAGAAACATAGATAATAGCAAGAAATGACAATTCACTAAAGCAAAATAAATAATGAATAAATACTTCCACACCTTACCTTGAGATACAAATCACCACACTGAGCTATATCACTTCTATCATTTCTTATGTAAAACCTATCAAAAGCGACCTTTATTGTGCGTCCAGACCTAACTGTAATATTCCATTGGCACTCCATGTAATAATTTTGAGAACTCCCAGACGTTGTATTGTCCACTTCTATTACTCCATTTGGCATTTTGACACTGCCACCACAGGCTGTAAGACATAAAGATCAACTAATATGGAACAATAATTTTAAATAAATTCCAAAGAGAGAAATGTGAGGTTACTAAACGCCATAGGCATGCGCGCAGGATATTCCAGGGGAGCCGTGGCGCCCATGAAAATTTTGAAAGAGGGCCCGTAACCCCATGTAATAAAGCATTTTCTTTACGTAAATATAGTCGTTTTCTTATTTACCGTTTTTAACCCGACTCTTTGAGGAAAAAGTTCATGAAATTTGGTAAAGAAAAATTGATCCGAAACATCAGTAAATGGTTCAATATAAAATAAGTTATGTTTATTAATTGTATCATTATAGAAACAACTTAATTATCGTAGTACGTTTTGTTTATCAACACAGATAAATAAATCGGAAGCAACTGTCTGTAAATTTTGAATTTTCTACATTTAAATACTATTTGAACTTGCTCATTCTTAGTCTGTTTCAAACGCGTTCAGAGAGACAACGCGGACCTTATATTGCAACTTGTAGAGGAACACGATTTTATGAGTTGCGATGTATTTTTAATTACAATTATTAACACGTCTATTAAACTTTCATACATAAACTTTTTATGTGTAAAAATATTTGCAACTAGCTGCTTACCCAGCGCTGCCCAGATATTTATTTCTGCCAATCGTCTAATAAGTAACCACGACTAACTCCCGCCCTATCCATGGCCGTTCAAATTGCAACTTCCGCAAAGCCCATCTCTTCGCCTTCGCCCCTTCCCTTCCGCTCTATCTGTTGTTTCTCATCACGCTTCGTCCGCACGCCCTCTTCGGTCTGCCATGGCTCACTACTCTCGCCCCTCCCATCCAGCGTATTCCGCTCATTCTGTTACTCTCGTCCGTTCCCTTGCCGCCCTACCGAGCCACGATGACCATGGCTGCCCTGCCCACACCTCCTGCCCCGCTCTTTTAACCTCTCACTGCGCCTCCAGACCCGAACCGGAGGGACACGCCACCAACGCTGAAGCGAGGTTGCCCACCGAAGATCTGCAGCCTTCCTACGCGACACCAGGCCAGTCTGTAATGGCGTTGCTGAGGGGTGTGTGTGTGTGGTAGGCGTAGAAACTTTCGGGTACGGCGAACCCCGCACCGTGCAACCGCCTGCCAGTGGGGGCCCTTTCCGGTTATGGCAGTGCAGGCAGCACAGTCTGCCGATCGCTGTGAGTATGAATTGTTACGGCTGATGAATTACATGGGATGTCTAGTTTTTTCTTCGACGCTCTTGCAAGAGGAACATAGCTCTTATTTTTTGTTTTTTGTTAATATGTTTTGAAAGAATGGAGATATCAGTTCGATTTCTTCACTAATCGTTTATAAATAAAAAAAAACAGCAAATTTGGAGTACAGTTTTGTGTATATACGTGCAAATATTAGAGGATTTAGAGCTGTGGTCCTGCTAACTTCTATTGAAAGTTAGCATGAACACCGATTTTTCTGAGAAAATGACCCGCGGCATTTTTTTTCCACAACTTAAAAACAACAAAAAAACGGCAAATTATGGACTACGCAGTTTTGTGATTGAATGAAATGGTCCTGCTAACTTCCAGGACCAAAAGTGGTCTAATTACATTTCTGTGCATCTTCTTCATTAATTTTTTTACTCGTGTAAGACATATTTAGTAATAAGTAAATAAAACATCTCACAAGAGAATGACTGTAACTGTGACTGTAATCACACAATTACTAAAAACCACTTATTGTCTGTCGTATGCGGTGTTGCTTGATGGCTTTGGAGCCTCTTCCCCCATTCCCCTAATAATCAGGTTAAAAAGGGGAAAATCAGAGATTAAACATTTTTTATTTATTTAGGTCTTGTAATTATTTTTGAACTATATATTATCTTCGGACAATATCTAAAGACAATTAGATTTTTTTGTCTCCTTTCTTATAAAAAAATTATTACAAAACGTTTTTTAATGATGACTTATAGGTGAGCTTGTGAAGTTTATAATGTGTACGAGTTTATATGTGATCTAGAACGTAAAAGTTGGAAATCATATGAAGTAGATGGAAATTGGTTTATTTTTTTACAATACATAACATGATGGAATGGAAAAAGTTATCGTTAAACACTTTTTGTAATAAACATATTATAACAAAGAAGAAAATAAAAATGCAATCGTTTTTAGATATTGGCCAAAGATAATATATGGAATAAACATATTCACAGAAATACAATGTTTTATCAACCAAATACACAGCCCCCCCTTTCCAAATTTTCATGGGGACCAAGTCACCCATGTGCGCATGTCTATGCTTTTGACGGATTAGAATAAGACTGTGACCGTGCTAAGGCCCTCCGGTCGTCAAGCCAAGTTAAGGCTTCCACAGACCGGCGCGGGAGATCCGCAGCCTACGCGGAATGGCCGCAGTGGAAATTTCGCGGCACGTGTTGCCTTATGAGCACGTTCAGACCCGCGCGGCAGCGGATTGGCAGCGTTTTATTACCTGCGGATTTTGGATCGCAACTCGACACGTTTCAACTGCTGGCGTTATAGTTTCGTGGAAGTCCGCCCGTCTTCGGGAGTCTGCGCTGTCGGAGCCTTTAAGGCTCCCATAGACCGGTGCGGCAAGTCCGCAGCGGGTGCAGCGCGGAAAGTTTCTTTCTAGACGCGCTGACGAAATCCGCTGGACCGTTCATACCCTTATTCGGCGGAGGCCGAGAAAAGGGAAATGGGAAAACCTATGCTCTAGCGCGCAACGAAAATGGCGATGAATAATTTTTAGACGAATATTACACAACAGCATCGTTGGTGGAAAATATTCCATTCCAAGTTACCACTTATGGATTTTGCAGAGAAGCGTAGCGTAAACAAACTCACAAGCAGTTCTGTGATTTTTTTATAAGGTCGCCGTTCATGTTTCTTCGTTAAACGTGTCCCTCAACAAGAGGATAACTCATGTTTGTAGTATTTATGCTGATTAGCATTTTCAACACTTGAAATAATCACATGAGAACGAAAGCAATATTGCAGCCAGTTTAACCTGAATGAAAATTCAGACCAGAAACGCAGAATGCATGCTCGAATGTTTTTCTAAACTATTAAGCATTTAGGGGGAAAATGTGAAAATTCTAATCTCTATTAATGTAATACTTACCAGGGTAAACTTTAGCAGCAAAGCCTGTTCTGTTAACTGAATAGTCTGTTCTGAAAACAACTTTCATCATGTTATATGCATCTATTGGAGGTGTTAAAGTTGCATTAGTCTGGCACAGTGTATTAAGAAGCTTCCATTCTCCAGACTGGTCTGTGGCTGAAAATATAATTAAAATTCATATTAAAGTGATAAACTTATAATTTCAGAACGCAGAGAAAATATATTATGATAATATTAATCAAAATTTTCAATAATTTTATATCCAGAATCTCAAACATGTCCTATATTGTCTTGCTATGAGAGCTACTTTATTATAAATAAACTGTTTTTGAAAGAAACTGTTGCTAAAAAGTATACGAACTGCTTCGCTTGGAAGTCTTCTTAATTGGAACTGCTTTGCTTGAAAGTCTTCTAATAACATAAAAGTATCTTTTAAGCATTTTTAAAAGTTAACCATTACACTTTAAAACTACCTTGGATAGATTGATGACAAAATACATTCTTGAACAGTTATATGAATAGAGATAAATATTATTATTGGTGTGTAGAAAACCAGGTAAATAATAACAATTTGACTGGTTTAAAGAACCTTATTTTAAAATAGTTACCTGAATAGACGCTAACATAATCCACTGTACATCTAGTATTTCTCTCTAGGTCCATTGCTGTAAACAGTATAACAGGATGATACAGCTGTGGGGTTTGTATAATCCATTCACATCTTAGACCATGTCTGTACCCATATGGGTAGCCAGGACTAGTTAATATGTATTCCGAGACAGAACTATTTGATGTGTGATTGCCTAGATATATCATTCCTCCACAAGTTAAATCTGTAAAAACAATAAATAAACCATTATGATTAATTATATAAACTGAAAATATTAATACAAACATTAGAGTAAATTGACAATTCCATGTTGTTAATCCAAGTAAAAAATGAAAAGATTATTATTTGTAACAAATTTGTAACATTAATTCTACCACTTATTTCATACTTCTATTTTATGATCATCATTATTATTATTATTATTATTATTATTATTATTATTATTATTATTATTATTATTATTATTAAGTACAGAAATTGATTTAAGTTATTACTTCTAAGTGGAGTTGGTCTTGGAACAGGTGTTCGTTCTACTTGTAACCATTCCAAAAAGAAGAGTGAACCGTGTCTTACACCCATTGAACTCATATAAATATACACCATATTTGAAGAAGACGTTATAGGATCTGGTACCATGGTGCCACATTTCTTCATTAATTCTGGAGCAGTGTCATCATAACCATCATATATCTACACAAAAAGTTGCTCAATCAGGTTCTACAATTTTACGATGAATTAAATTTGTTCACATAATGTAAGCCATCAACTTACAGCCAGGAACATGTCACATGAATCACTGAAACTTTCAATATAAAATTCCCTAAACGTAATGCGAATTGCACTACCAACAGCAACAGTGACCCTCCAAGAATATTCACTTTCTTGAAGGTAAGGTCTTGGATACAGAGGGGAGGCAATTTGGCCAGATTGTCCCTCCAGTTCATTTCCATGTACTAAAATAAAAATGTGTCTTTTAAAGCATTAATAGGATTTTTTTAAAAAATATCTATGTGGATGTATGAAAATGGCCAATTCCTGAACGACTCTCCAGAAACTCACTCAAACTGTAGTCCGCAAGGAACCCTCGCGCCGTTCCGTCACTGTCACTGTGGAATTTGATCCACAATGTTTGCGAAGCAGTAATATTTGACGGCAAGTCTTGACAGTACACGCCAATTAAATTTCCCTCAGCACTATTCGCACGAACTTCTAAGTAGTCTTTGTTGCAATTATCACTTTGTTCCAATTCGAACGCTCGAAAACCAACAGTTACACGGTTTCCTAGAAGAAGAAAAAAGACATTAAAATTTGGTAGCTTTTAAACGTGATAAATTTATTAGATACAAAATATATTAACATTAATAATTATTCAATAGACTTCACCTGGTGATGTCGATATAGTCCATACACATTCAGAATTAATAGAATATGTATTTGGGTATTCAGGAGATGAAAATGCCCCATGTTCTGACGTGAAGTTGCCTCCACATGCTGAAATAGAACTATTATATTGCAAAAGATATTTACAACAGTTCACTTTTAAAAGATGCATACAATTTTCCATTTGCACTTGGGAATAGTGTTTCAAAATGAATACGATAAGTACGAATAAAATGGTTAGTCGAGACAAAGGTGTTTCGTGATTTTCATACAAAGAAAATCAGTAGTATGGGGGGGGGGGGGGTTATAACTTCATTTCAGCAAATGTCATAACTTTGTTAAATGTTAAGTACGTAGTAGTTGAGTACATGCAATTGTGTAAAATATATAATGTTATTTTGCCTTCTTTTCTTCTACATAATGAACCTTGTGGTTACATTTATATACACTACTATCAGCACTGTTTCCCTACTGAATTAGTTTGAATGTAAGCTGTATCTGACGGTCTGCCATGAAAATTACGATGTTTGCTAAATGAGATTACGAGCACAACTATATGCATTCACTATTTCTCCTTCATAGTTATTTAATTTTATTGCTATTTCCTTTACTATTGAGTAAGGCTTACTGCAGTAACTTTATGAGCCCCTTAACTTAAAAGCCCCTTCAAAAATTAGAAAAGCTATGTGTAAACAACATCGTATTTAAATTAATTGTGAGAATAGAAAAGCTTAGGTATTAAATTACAACTGATTAATTAATGTAGGTGCATATCTTTATTATTAGAATATATCAATGATGTTCTCACTATTCTCCTTCAACACGTTTTATTTTGATTTGTGTCCAATTTTTCGCTCTACTAGCTTCTCAGATTTCCAAATCGATTGCAGAGAGGTCTTAATGCTGCTTCTAGCACTATGGTGTTGCATACATTGATATGAAGCATTGTTTCCCTTGTACTTTCATATCTGTTCTCTATCGAAAAAACTCTCCTATTTTGCTAGGAATTGGGCACGAGATACCATAAAAACATACCTCCTTGAATGACTGAGTATGAAGCACTAAAATATCCATAGTGGGCACCGTACATGGAGACCAAATGCAAAAGAAGGGCAGATCCCTGACTTATAATAGGAGGCGGTGCCGAAGAGCCACAGAACGGCCCCAAAGGGCTTGAGCTTTTATCTTCTCCATCATACACTTCTAAATAGCCATATTCACAGACGTCGCCAAAATTTTCATATCTTGGACTCAGGTCCATGTGCGTAATTGTTAATGTTACTCGATCCTCTGAAAAGGGATTTTTTTAAAATACGATATAATCTGTTGGAAGTTATTTTCATTAAATTATTCATAACTACGAAAACAAATTTCATTATCGCGTGTAAATGATATTGTAAAATTTAATATTTTATCATGCAAAAGAAAATGTGCATTTTCATACGTGGTTGTGCTCCAATTATTACCCAAGAACAGTTTTGATTTTCTCTATTAGCGTTGATGGCATTCGCTAGTGAGATCGTCCCATAATCTTCCGTAACTATTCGAGCACCACAGGCCTAGAAATTAGGAAAATAAAAATGATTTATAATTTAAGAAGTAAATTCAGAAAAATAATTTGAAAAATTTAATCAAACTTCAAGATATCAAAACGCATTAAAGAAACATTACATGAATGTCTATAATATGCACAATTATGAAACTAAAATCTTCAACGGACAATTTTTTATTGTTTACCTAAAATTATTTTTGTCATATATCATCACTATTATCATCATCCGTCCTTCGTTCGTATGATCGCCTGCCTGTGCATTCAGCCCGCCTGATCGGGCGGACGGGCGGAGGGACAGACAGGCGGAGGGACAGACAGGCGGAGGGACAGACAGGCGGAGGGAGAGACAGGCGGAGGGACAGGGAGGCGGAGGGACAGGGAGGCGGAGGGAGAGATAGGGGGAGGGACAGGGAGGCGGAGGGACAGGGAGGTGGAGGGACAGGGAGGCAAGGGAGGGGGACGAACGTGCGGAGTGCCGCGCGGCCGGAGGGATGGGCGCACGGACACACAGAGGGACGGGCAGATGGGTGAAAGGTTCTTAATTTTTAGGTATTACTAGGTTCGGTAATCTGAGGTATGGCAGTTTTCTTTGGATTTAAGGCAGTGTCTCCTTTGGATCGAATAACAAATAAAAATAATGGTAAATTAACTCGCCCTCCGCAACTGTTCGACTCTAAATTTATAAATTTAATCCACACAAATTATTTTTGTTAACTTTAAATCATAATTTAGCAAATTCTCGCTCCTACGTCCTAACACATCCGTTCGCCACAAGCGTTCATACCATTCTCCCCGAGATAATCATACATGACAAATCTCAATTTTAAAACTCACCGTTGTATAGTTGGCAGAAAAGCCTGGGCCATTAAGCGACCCATCGGCCTTCATTCTCAAAACCATTGTATTTCCCGTTGATCTATATGATGTAATATTGGGAAGAACATTTCCACATAATGTTGCAATTTCAGGACTTTCAGTGGAGTTTCCATCAAATACCTGGAACAAACACCGTAATTAGTAATGCTGTATTTAATATCTTTCGATTTATAACAATAATATGTCTCAATTAATGCAAGTCTCTTTCAAGCTCCAAAAATCCTATAGATATTTAAATCAATCATTCTTGTCTATGTCAATATTTATAAAAACTAAATACCTTTACGTAATCATAGGTGCAATTATTGCTCATTTCTAAATCAAATGTAAGGAATGATAATTGCACAACGTGGTTTTTCTCTACCTCTATGTACCACAAGCAATCATCATGAGGATCATAATTATTGGGGAAATTATGTGAATGAATATATCCACTTGGAGCCACAAAGTAACCTCCGCAAACTACAAAAGAAAAACAAATTATTGAACGACTTGTATATAATTAGTTAACACATAGTTAATAAAGGTGTATAAGTGTACCAACACATTAGGTTAATATAACCAAGTAAGAAATCTATTATCATGACATTCATAAATGTTCCCATGCAAATGCCTTTAAGCTTCCGCGGCTCGAATCCATAAATTCTTGGCTATCCGGGAGACGCCGCGTCACTGGCTGAGAGGCCAACGTTTCGCCTGATATGTCGCAGGCTTCCTCAGGGCAGTTCGTCACTGCTCTGAGGAAGCCAGCGACATGTCAGGCGAAACGTCGGCCTCTCAGCCAAAGACGCGGCGTCTCCCGGATAGCCAAGCATTTATACTCCCTTACAAGTCATTCCCAGAGAATATACAAGTAGATTAAGTTAAAGTTTCACACATAACTATTCTATACGCTTATGAAACCTGCGGTGTGCCAAAGAAGTGTATTCTGCTACATGTTTTACACTCACAGCAAAGGTATAAAGTACCTACAACAGTATTTCAACGTAAAACTAACTCATTGTTCTCTGGAAATGACTGGCATTGCACACGAATTATTATAACTATATGGCATGCTCAACAAATTTTGAAAAATCATCAAACCTGAGTCAACTGATTTGTAGGATAATTTAAAACCACGTCCTGAGTATGAAGAATCAGCTGTGAAAGTAAGTAACATATTGCTTCCAGAGGAAGTTAGTTTCATTTCCTGAGTTAATTTATGACAGAGACCAGGGTGTAGTGCTGGAGAAGTTGTATCTTGTCCTCCATAAACCTTTAAAAACAAAGAATATTAAATATAATGTTTGTGATTTTTTTTTAAGTTTCATTAAAAAAACTTACAGTTTTCCTGTAATAAGCATCATAAATCATTAGGTACAGTAACTGTACTATACGGTATTAGGTACACAAATGTACACGGTACTACAACATACTTTCTCTCATTACTTGTAATGAACACTCACAATTACGCGAAAACTACTCACATTTTTAAAAACCTGAACATGACTTTATTTAACAATCCAATTTCGAATAAAATATTTCATTAAGGAAATATAACCATCTTCAATAATGCAACAATTGTAGAAAGACTCAAAAATTATTAACTTTTGCAGTTTCCGAAAATTCAAAGTTGAACAATACTGGGACCCGCACCATTTTATAAGAGTATTCAAGAAAAATGTAAAAAATATTGAAGGTTAATTTGGAAACACCAGCTCGACTAAATAAAACAGCTATATTTATCACCGCCAACATCTCGATGATCAACAATAATGAACTTTTCAAATATCGGCTGCGGCATTGTTGCGCAAATTTCAATTAAACTTTGCGGATTGCTTGATGCAATACATCAGTGCACTGAGATTACAAATTGTATAATAGAAAAAAGTAAAAGTGTTAGAAAGTAAAAATATAGTTATAATTGACATTTTCAATAGAACATAATTAAAATCAAATTATTTATTTTTCGTATCGTTTATTCAATTTTTCTCATGGCTCGTAGTTGGTGGAATACATGTCTATTATTTCATTAATTTCAAGCAGAAAATACACAAAAAGTACTCACTTTTTCAAAAATGTGTACATGGCCTCTTTAAAGGACTTATTTTGTACAACAGAATTTGTCTGAGGCTCAAATCTCTATCTTCAATTTTGTAATTTGACATTTGTTTGTTTTTTTTTTGCAATTTTCGAAAACCCAAGCCATACCCGAAAATGGGTCTAGCACCATATTTTGCATCATTCCTTATTACATTTTCCTTTATGTACGTATATACGGAGTAATATACCTAATATAGAAAAACTTATGTAATGCTGCGGAAAATCGATTTCGAAATTCAACGGAAATACACGTTTTGGTGTCTCCTGATACCCAAAAAGTTTTTTGTTTTTTTTTCAAAAAACAAATCTGTCCGTCTGTGAATACGAAGGTTGTCTTTTATGTTTCGGGATCTGGCAACCCTGGTGTTGCAATCTGGCAACTGACAACTCTATTGTAAAGTTGGATGTTTTGAGGTTATACGTACTCAGAACGTTTTGACATACAAGTGGTACTTCTGCTGTTTACAGTAACTTAAAAGATTCATCTTGGCCCCAAAATGGAATTAAATCGTGAACATTATCGTGCGATTATTTTTTACAACTTTCGACGTGGATTGACTTAGCAACAGTGCATGGATGAACTTAATTCAATTTTTGGCGATAAAGCTCCATCAAGAACCAGTGTTTATCGATGGTATGGAGAATTCAATCGTGGTCGTAGATCACTCCAAGACGAATTTCGCGAAGGTCGTACAAAATCAGTTGTTGTTCCGAAAACCATTGATGCTGTGCGTGAACTGATATTGCAAGATCGTCATGTGACCTATCGTGAGATTGAGACAACCTTAGACATTAGTGGGACCAGCATACATTCAATATTGCATGACCATTTGACTGTCAAAAAAAATTGTTCGCTTTGACACTCAAAAAAAACGGCTCGTGTCGATTGGTCGAAAGAAATGTTAAAAAAATACGATCGCGGTGCTTCGAAACACGTCTATGACATCGTGACAGGTGATGAATCGTGGATTTACGCGTATGAGTCCGAAAGTAAACAGCAGTCGACTGTGTAGGTGTTCCAAGATGAGCAAAATCCAACAAAAGTTGTTCGCGCATAAAGCACTTCCAAACAGATGGTCACCTGTTTTTTTCGGAAAAACTGGACATGTCACAACCGTACCACTAGAACAAGGCAGAACAGTCAATTTTGCCAGCTGTCTTTCAAGAAATCAGGAAAACCAACCGCCGAAGACTGATCACTCTTCACCACGACAATGCAAGCTCTCACACATCGGCTCAAACAACTGCATTTTTGAGCACCCAAAAACATCGATTTGATGAGTCATCCGCCGTATAGTCCTGACTTGGCACCGAATGACTTCTTTTTATTCACGTACGTAAAAAACAAACTAAGAGGTCAACGTTTTTCGACACCTGAAGAAGCGGTTGCTGCATTCAGAATGCATGTTTTGGAGATACCTCAATCAGAGTGGCAAAAGTGATTCGACAATTGCTTCAACCGCATGCAAAAGTGTATAGATCTTCACGGGAAATATTTTGAAAAACAATAAAGTGATTTTCGATAATTAATATTCGTTTTTGTTCTCTAATCCTGAAATATAAGAGGCAACCCTCGTACCACTAGCGCCTAAACGATGTGTAAGATATATTCAAAAATGTATTTCACGGTTTTCAACGGTCGATCTGGCTCCTCTCGAGGTGCCGCGATTTTGAAAAACGTTCTTTAAAATTTGGGAGCACTCTACACGGAACACCTAGGACATTTTCAAAATATTCTCAAAATTGACTCAAATTTATTTCTTTACATTTTTTGAAAAAATAAAGTAAAATACACTATTGAAGATGGCATAGGTCCAATTTTCCGAATTATAATGCTGGATTTAAAATTGACCACTCCAGCGGTTTCTTGGGCGCCCAATATTCTTTCTTCCTTGTGGTCTGTAGTTGCGAACGCGGCAATCCTACATTCTATCAAAATGTTCCAAACAATTTAGTCTGTGTGTTGCAATTTCATCACGCACACTGGTGATATTTAGTTCCCAACGGATAGTGTCATATCTTTTCCGATCTTGGAGAGTATCTTTTCACATATCTGAGAAATTTTACTTCAGCTGCATCGATGCGGTTGGCTTGATTTTTTGTTAAAGTTCAGTTTTCAAATTCGTAAAGGAGCGTGCTGATTTAAGTTGATTTAAAAATTCTCTGTTATTATATATTTGCAAATATAATTAGTACAAATCTGGGAATAAACAGTACTACTACTGCATGCAAATATGCTAATAAGTCAATAAATAATTATTCAAGCATTTCCATTTGTAGGATTCTCTCAAATTCTGTATAGTTGTGAGTCAAAGATCAACTTACGAGCTAACACATGCACGATGTTACACTCATTCATGTTACGAAGAATGAGTGAAATGGATGGCAGAGTGCGTGCTCTAGTTACACCAACCAACAAATGAAGGGCTGGGCCGCAAACCTCGAGCAAGTAGGAGGCGCCTTGGCGGGCTGAACGACCGCCGAGGCAGCGACAGCGATAATTAATAATATTGCATTGATGAATTGTATAATTCATCGAGAAACATTCATTTGTATCCACATACTGTAATCGAACTCCATTAGAAGGAATTGACTAAGCACATCTAGAGAGAACTGAGCGCCAATGAATGGTGCTCATTGTTTGAAAGAGTTGTCTTTTGTTATTTATAGAACCAGTGCGTTGAGATTATTGGTGTAATATAATCAAAACACACGTGATAATGGTTCAAATTTATTTAACATTTCTTCATTGATTACACTCAAGCCTTCCTCAGATAATGTGAGTGATGTGGGGCGTGGTTCACTCTAAATTTGCCCTTTAACCCTCTGCGTATGCAGTGGGCTATACGGTACTAATTTTCTCATTCTCTCGGCCTAATCGGGTCCTGCACTATTGAGGTAGCTGGTAAGGTGGCGGATAATGATAATAATATTAAATACAATGCATACAATGAAATAACCTCCTTTCGAAGTCAGTTAAAATGTACACACAAAATGTTCTAAAACATAATGTAGGTGCCCTTTAAAAATATAAATGATTACAATATTGAAATACAGCTTATTGTACTTACCCTGAGAACGTCAAAATTACAATTTCCAGAACCTTCAATATCAAAATCATGTATAGTTAACTCGATGCTCTTATCTAATGCTGTAGTAATAAGCCATTCACATTCAATATTGTCTGCATAACCATGTGGATAGTTTGGAGAGGTGATTTCACCCGACTGATCTGTGATATGTGCACCACACCCTGAAACATTTTAATTAATCGTTATATTAATTAATTATTAGAAATGATTAACTCTCTTGCACATATCTAGATGACGTTTGACCCCAAATGTATTACATTCTTTCTATTATTAGGTTGGTAACATTTATACTCCATTTGATCTTACTTTATGAATCTAAATAATCAGTTGTGTTCAAACCAGCCACGATTTTGTTGTTTTTCGAATAGTCTACGCCAGTTGGAGTTACTAGTGACCTCTGTATATAAAAACACTAGGATGTGATAATCTTCTCTGAAAATGAATTCGAAACTCCTGCTAAAAGAATACTTAATCTATCAGATTCCTTACATATGTCGTCGGGCAGAAAAACAACATTTAGAATTAGGTGTTGAATACTTTCCAAAAATGTGTGTCGTTATGTAGTACTTTATATTTTTGAATATTGTTAGAAGATTAAACATCTTATATAATAATGTTTGAATATTCAAATTTTTTATCATGATTTAAATATTGGGTAACTTATTACCCCACGTATATCTGCGTGTGCATTATTATTACTGAGTCTTGATAAGCAGGGATTCTAAAAGCAAATGGTCGATATATTTACTGTACATTTTCTGAAGAACGAAACGATTAAGTCATATATTTTGACGGCACTCTTTAATCTGTGCTGTGCTCCACCCTTTTTTTACATTTATACTTCAATTAAAATACATTCCACGCATTCTATGCAGTAGCTCCACACTTTTGAACAACAATAAACTTTCTTACAAGCATCGGGGGAAAAAATTGTACATTGTTTTTGTCTGTGTTATAATTATCACACGTAGTCATAACTGAATCAGTAGCACCCGAAAATGCCTAATGTAAATAGACTTAAAAATATTATAGTGATGTCAATTATCATAGTTTGCATTAGTGTTGCAAATTGTTATGTTGT